TTTGAGAGATGAGTCCAAAAACCTTATCAAATAGAATTTGAAACAGCCACAACAATGAAAATACACCAAAGCATGCTTCCTATGGTACAGTCACTACTAGTAGTGGTAACCATGTTGTTGAGAATCTCTCCATCATCCCATTCGATCCTCACAAGAGAAAGATCAACAAACTCAAGACAACCAAGCAGAAAGCGATTGTTTTTGAGACTTCTTCTTCTGGTGGTAGAAGTAGTAGCCACCAATCATCCACCCAACGATTGCTCCCAAACACTCTTTCATCAACCAACCACAGTCAAGAATTGATGAATCATCATCACTCCATTCCATCCCAAAAAGAAACTTCTCAAAATCCATTCGATGGTTCTAATAGTTTCTCTCAACATTTCAATATTAGAACTCTCAGAGCCAATCATCAAACTCCAAGACAAGGAAGGAAATTTATTGAACCTCCTCAATATAGAAGTACAGTTCAACAAGATCATATTCATCATTGTACTCTCAGCATCAAGAGTGAAGAAGTACAGGATCGTTGTCCCCCATTACATGATGAGGAGAGCCAATGGATGACCATTCAGCCACCAACAACAAGCCAAAACACTCCAACACTTCCAGCCTTCCATGGTGGTGGTACTTCTTTGGAAGATAGGCTTTTTTCAGACTCGTTGACTATTACAAGTTTCAGGTCTAATACAAGTTGTAATATTGGTCCTTTCATATCGTGTAGCCTCCCTCCAACCTCTTTCACCAAAGATTCATCATCGATGAGCATCAATAGTAGCATCAGCAGCAGTAGAAATAGTAACTCTTCGATAGTATCCTCATCATCATCCCTCTCTACGGATGGTGGATCTGAGAGAATGAATCCTAACAATAATAATATATTATTGAAACACAATTTCAGGACCAAATTGATGAAGGGTTTAGTTGGAGCCTTCCATGACCATCATCGACCTCATGCTCAATCAACACGCATGAGTAGTAGTTCAACTACTTCCTTCTCACCATCAACAGTTGCACGCAGTTTCCCAATATCCGAATTGGGACACATTTCATTCACATTCTTGATGCCTCAACCAAATCACACAATGAAACAAGTAGCAGAAGCACTCATAAGAATCTTTTTGAAACAACAACAACAAGACCAAACACCAACTCAACACAACTTCCAAGACAAGTAAGAACCTCCATTTCAATAAAAGAATTGCTCAACCATGATGATCATGGTGGTGTTGACGATTCATTTTCGTAAACGCGATTTAACATTGTTCCCAACACTATTGTTATCCACCGATTTTATGACGGTTTCAGTCCATCAAAACTTGCCAATTCAAATTATTGTTTCTGACACCACATCTCGTCCATGGAGTTTTGGAACCTGGCACTTTCTTCGTTTGCAAATTTCTGAATTTAATTAATATTCATAAAACCCCAGTTCTTTTAGAAAGACATTCAATTCCACTTGGTTTATTTGAAAATTTCGAGTAATTGCTTTCTTGAAAACTTTTCTGAATGACAATCCAGATGATACATGAATGCCCATACCTCCCCAACAAAATAAAGAGAAGTGTGAAAAGCAAAATACTTATCATTCTTTGGAATGAAGATGCTTGAAAAACTTGAAGCCGCTATGGACATTAAAAGGAATAACACGAGTCGCCAAACCATGCAAGGGAAAGCATGAGGATCATTTTCAATCACAGTATTCATGGAAAACGTTGAGTTGAAGGTTGGTCCCTTGTTTTCCTCCATTGAAAGAGAAACATTAATCTCAGAAAAACCAGTTCTCCTGCCGAGAAATGTGAATACATGCTCAGCCTACACGCTTGAGTAATATAACTACTTCCTTTCTCACCACCAACAGTTGCATGCAGACACAACACTGTTGTTATCAATATTTGAATGAAGATTTTGATTGGAGAGGTGAATCAAAATACGAATAATGGTCAATATTTCCTCATATGGGAAGGTTCATAGTTCCAATCTCATAGGTATCGCAAAATCTTTGAATCGTGTGGTGGAATTTCAAATTCAATAAACGTCCTTCAATAAATTCATTGCAGTTCTTGTGCATGATGTTGGGTTGTTACAAGAGATGCTGGAACGGAAACTTTTCGAAGATCCAACAATGTTCATGCCCTTTTCCTCCTTCACTTGTCAAAATATTTTTATCCAAATGCCAAAAGAAAAAAATGGAGCGCTTGAAATCCCTGTTTAAATCCACTCGAGAACAAACCGATCTTGAATCAAAGCCTCTCGAAGAGTGGAGCACCAAAGACTTTCAGGATTGGTTAAAGGAACATGATTATCAAAAGAAAGTTTTACAAAGTAAGTAAAACTAAGTAAAAGAGAGTTTCTAAAAGAAATGATTATTGCGATCGTTCTATTTGATGATATATTCTCATTCGATGAATGGAATACAATGATGATTACGACCTATCATTTTCATACCATGATGACGATAACAACTTCTCAACAATACAAACCATACAAATGTCACTCATAACCACACACACATCGATGTAACGTGGCGCATTAAAAATACAAATTTGGACGACCCTGTTACATCATGACACACCATCATTCAAAACACTCATAGTATTGAAAAAGGAAGAATGGAACGGAAAATGTTTAATTGATTTCACGGAAGAGGATTTGAAAAAAATTGGAATTCCAAGGTATGTCATCGAGTGGTTGTTATGATTATTGTAAATTTAAACAACAATGTTCAATGTGATCACATCGATGATGATGATGATGAATGGATGTTGGTATTGAATCAAAAATTGTTGGTTCGATATTATATGGAATGTGTTTTCCCGTCAATCAAATGTCATAACTGGTTACAATGATTGTGCCTCACTTGTGTGTTCTCATTCACATGATCCATTTTCATCATTTCTCACTCTCTCCATTTTCCTATCGTATGAATTCTCATCATCATCACTCGCTCTTTTATTACTTGATCAATTAATTTCTTCACACATTAACACTTGACAGTGGCTCTGCCAAAGGAATTACAAATTCTATCAATTTAATCAAACAACAACAAATCAAAACAGGAATACTGAATGGTAACCTTTCAACTTCATCAAGTAAGATCACAACAACAACAACAACCACAACTCTTCGAACTTCAGATTCGGGAACCAATGACAACACAACAACAGCTACATCGAGTGATTCAAGTGATAATTTGACAGGTGACAATGTTCAAGTCGTGCAATTACTTGATGCAGAGGAAGAAGAACAAGAAGAACAACAAGAGAAAAAAACACCAACGAGAGCAAATACAAATAGAGGAATCTTTAACACTTCATCTGCATCTGAATCGACAGCAATGCCAACAGAAGAACGATATGTGGCATGTCCTCCATTTCAACCTTCAACTTTTACAGAACAAGACAAGAAAGATTATGATAAATGTATGAAAAAGGTACAATTGGCTTGTCAAGATTATCCTCCATCGGTGCAGGCAACTATTTGTCAAGATTGTATTTTTGTAGATCGATTCCAGTATCGATATTTTAATCCTTTGAGATTGGCAGACAAGGACAGAGTGGTCAACAAAATGGTAGAACCATTTATCAAAGTGAAATTGGTCATTACAGGTAAGTGCATGATTTTTGCATGGAATTCAATGTATGAAATTATGTGAAATTTTTTATAATGATATTGTAACATTACCTTTTATAGAAATGGATACTGGCATGGCTCACCGATTATTGAGATCGATTGGTTCCAGAATTCACAAAACCATCAAATCGATGGATTATGGAATGTTTCACACTGCTCTCATTGTAGGAGTTTATTACATTGAATGGGTTGACAGTTCTCTCGTCACTGTTCGTAAAAAGAGCAGTAGCAAAGCTGTGTTTGCAACTGATATTGGAACCATTAGTGGACAAGAAAAAGTGAATGAAGCTTTCCGAAAGTTGTCAGAACTTATATGTGAATGGAATAGATCCCGTCAATATGATAACAAGACAGCAAACTGTCAACATTTTTGTACCGAAGCTATCGAAAAGCTCGGATTGTCAGAAGCATTTGAAAAGATTGCTGGACAAGGTCCTCTGAGAGAATATCTCACAAGACTTAAAACAACTGGTGCTTGTGACATGTCTTATAGAATTTCACAGGATGTGAAAGAAACCATTTTACAATCTGATAATGCACCAGAAGAATTGAAAGACTTCTTGAACTCATCAGGCAATGCTTTAACATTCCATTCACACAAAATTTTGGATCAATTTGTTCATGTTTTACAAGAGGAAGATCCTCTTTATTTTGATAGAGAACCATTCGACTATGTACTTCTCAAAGCTTATGACAGAGCTTTCTGGTTGAGAAGTCAATCTAAGGGAAGTGGAACCGATTCATCTCACTATTGGACTAATCCAAACACAGGAGCATGCATGTGTCCTTTCAACAAGTCAGCTGCCAATGTTGAAAATGAGGAAATTGTCAACTCTATCATTGGTAAAGATTTTGAATTGGGATCCTATCGACCAAACTATCCTGTAAGATTGGATTAGTACAAACATTTGATTTTTCCACAACTACAACAATTTTGACGATTAAACATCATTCATGTAAAAACAAGTTGTTGTTGTTGTGAATTCATCATGTGAGGATAGGAATGATCGTTCAGATGAAACATCATTCAACAAGTTGTTGTTGTGTTCATTGCAATATTCCTCAAGTAAGTGCTAATTAAGGATTGTATTTAACAAACAAAAGACTTGCATTGGTACCTCCAAATCCAAACGAGTTGCAAAGTGCTGCTTTCACTTCAGTCTCCAATGGTTCCTTGGCAACAATTCTCACCTTATTAACATTGAGGTTTGAATCCTCATCGACTTGTTCAAAATTCAGAGTGTGTGGGATTTTGTTATGATAAATAGAGAGGACAGTACCAACAGATTCACTTGCACCTGCTGCTCCTAACATGTGACCAAGAGATCCCTTCATGCTATTCACATAAATTGGTTGATTTTCATTTTCAAATAACTTTTGAATGGCAAATAACTCAACTTTGTCTCCAGCAGGCGTACTTGTAGCATGACAATTCACATGATTAATGTCTGACAGTTTTACATCCACAATAGAATCATGAATTGCATTTCTCATGGCTGCCATGGCTGCTCTTCCATCAGGTGATGGAGCTGTAGGATGATAGGCATCTCCTGATGCTCCATATCCAACAATTTCTGCATATATTTTAGCTCCTCTTGATTGAGCATGTTCCAATTCTTCCAAAACTAAACATCCTGCACCTTCAGACATGACAAATCCATCTCTATTCTTGTCAAATGGTCGACTCGCTGTTTGTGGGTCATTTCTTGAAGAAAGTGCTCTCGCTCGATTAAATCCAACATAAAAGACAGGATAGAATGAATTTTCACATCCACCAGCCAACATGACCTTTCCATGTCCATGTCTAATAAATTGAAATGCTTCTCCAATACTATGAGCTCCTGTTGCACATGCAGTGGAACAACTCATCATGGGTCCTTGTAAATCATGTTGCATGGCAATATAACCTGCTGCCATATTATTTAGAATTCGAGGATAGAATACAGGACTGACTTTTTTGTGTTGCTGTTATGTGTGGAATCGAAAATGTCATTTTCAAAGGTGTGGAATGATGACACACATAATATTTCCAATGTTCATATATTCCCAATGTTCATCAAGATGTAATCATCATTTATATTTTTGCATGAGATTATTATTAAGGGATGTTTTGTACGTATATATATATACACACATGAACACAACAGTAAATGATAATAAAATGATCACCATTCATGAAACAATAGATCATGAATGATCAAAGCTTACCTCATTCTCTACGAGCATGTAAGCTTCTCCAACCTCCTCACCTGCTCCAAGTGAAGAACCCATAGAGACTCCAATTTGTGACTTATCCATGGATTTGATATCCAAACCAGAATCCACAATGGATTCAAAAGCAGCAATCATTCCAAATTGAATAAATTTTGACAATCGAGATTTAGTTATGCTTTTTTCTCTATTGGATGACTCTGTAAATGCCAAACATTGATCTAATTTCTGATCCAATTCCACAGGATCAATAAATCCTCCAATTTTGTTTCCAATTTTTGTCCAAATCACTTGCTCTCTCTCTGTCAATGTATCAAAAGGTAATTGTTTAATTCCACATTTTCCATTCAACATGTGTTGCCAAAATGTTTCAACTGTGAGACCAAGAGGAGATACTACACCAAGTCCTGTGACAACCACTCGCTTGGGACTTGGTAAATCCTTTTTTAAATGAAAATTTCGAAATTGGTGTTGTTCGGAATCGACATTCAATAAGAAATAGGTGAATGAAGTGTGATGGTGCTTGTACGTATGATGATGATCAATTTTCTTTTCTTTTTGTAACCAATGAGATTGTCCGAAATTACTTTGTTGTTGGTTCAGAAGGTGTTTGTTGATCTTCAAGTAGCGTTGGATTGGCCTTATCATGGTGAGAGACTCAATATTTTTTCTTTTTAAATTAAATTGATAACAATAATTATTAAAAAATTTGAATAAGATAACAGTTTATTAATAAAATTACAAAAAAAAATGAGCAATCATAATTACTACAATGCACCACCCTATCAACACTACTACCAACAGGCTCATTCCATGATGCCTCCACTCGGACAGGTTCAACCGCAGTATGAAGAAGAAGAAGATCAACAAAATGTTCAACAATATGCTGACGAATCCGATGTGATTCCAACTAACATGAGACAACTGAGAGCTTGCTTGACTTGTGGTTTAGTGAAAACAACAGATCAATTTAAAGCCAATGGATGCGAAAATTGTTCTAACAAGGATGATGATCCGCTAAATAATACTAGTACATCATTTGAAGGCTTAATTTGTTTAATGAATCCAAGTAAGAGTTGGGTTGCTAGATATCAAAACTTACAAGATAAAGTGGAAGGTGTTTATGCCATCACAGTGCACGGAAGTACTACGGAATAATATTACAATATATATTGAATCAAAACATTAATGTTTATGTATATTTAATGTTGTTTCATTATTTCCGAATACATGTGCGCAGTTTCAAATTTTCTAATCATTGTAAATACACCATCACCACCATGAGAAATGTAGAGTCGATTGCCATGATTTGTAGAGTAAATACACAATTCATTTCATATTTATCACAAAGCATGAACCAAAGTGGCGCTCAAAAAAATGAATGCTCACCATCGCCAGAGGCCCGATGATTTTCCCTTCATCATGTGATGATGAGAAAATTCTTTTCTTTCTGTATTCGTCGGAATGAATACACACACAACAGATGATTGCATAGTATTGGGACTGTCCCAAGTTTGGTAGTACATGCTACCACCCAACCCTAAGGTGTTTTTGGCACAATAACGCTGTCGTTGTTGTCGCTGATGGTAGACATGTCAGAAAGCACAACATACTCCTTGCCAGATTGTGCAGAACCTTTCTGGCTTGGAGCATGTGGCCCCTTCCTTTCAAGGTTCTGCTTTACGGTCTTGGTAGAATGCTCTCATGTGTTGTGTGATGTTTTGGCACGCTAGTTGTTCGAAGTTTTGTTGTGTACGTATCTTTCTTTATGAAAGGTATGAAGGGTTAGCCCCTGTTTTACGAAACATCAACAATGAGCGTTTCAAAACATGAAAGATCTGGCGATACTTTTTAATTAATAAGAGAAACACACACTACACTGACACATCACAACTTTTTCACAACATTCAAATATCAAGTCAATTGTAGAATCTTGAGAATGTCGATAATAAGGTGGGTTTGTGTGATATGAATGAAGACTTTCTCGTTTCATTAATTTATGCCAAGTATTCAGTCATGGCATACCTTATTTCCATTCTTTATTCTACATTACATGGCTCACTTGTGATGGCCATTTGTTGTGAATTTTTGATCTCATGACACATTTACCTTGTTCTGTTACTTCCTTGTGACACTGGTCGACCAATTTGATCAAAGTCTTTGCAGCTTCTGAGAATACTTTTGGTGGATGCTGTGTGTGACTGTCTAAGGGATGACTTGGAATATTGCGGGAGAGATTTTCTCAAAAATTCCCCTGAAACGGAGTGTCTGACACTACTACTGTCACTATTGCTTGGGGAAGATACTTCATTTGTTTTTTGACTTTTGGCACGCTTGGTCCTTGCGAAAAACTGTTTTGGCCTTGTTATAGTAACCGACCTTGTCATGCTTCCAAAAGATGAAGTGTCACCGTGAAATATTTCTGATGAATGAACAGCGGGATCAAATCGTTGTTGGGGCCTCACGCGTGTAGGGCTTTTTGCTTGTAAAACACTTTTTGGTCTATTAATTGATGAAGCTGACTGTGTTCTTCTCATACTAATCTGTGAAGGTGAAGCAACAGAAGGCAGAGGAGGTACAGTTGGTTCTTCAGAATCCTCAACAATTTTGTACTCCTCCAATACACCTTCTGAAAATGCAATGGCATCGCCGTCTTCGCCAAAGCTGTCTTCATTCAAATATTTCATTCTCTCCTCCATCTGTCTCATCTGATCCTTGACAAATTGATATTCAGCTCTATATCTGTTCATATTAATTTCAAACTTTGGATTAAGTTTTTGTTTAGGTAGAAAGGCTTGAATGGCATACTTTTTTCGCTTTGTTTTTTTGGGTTCTTTCAGATCGTCCGAACTAATATTTACAATGGATGATCGGACGAAATTTCTTGTTGCAATACTTGTTGATGTTATGGTTGTGGTATTGGGATCATTGGTTTTGTTGTATTTGTTGTATCTCTTGGGACCGTTGTCCTTATGTCTAGGGGAAGGTGTTGCTGGTTGTTCGGTTATTGGCCTCCAAATCATGGATTCTACAATTTTATGTGGTTGATTTGAATAATTTACATTCCGAGTGTTGTTATTAATTTGAGTTTCTTGGTGAGGTACATTGCTACTCGCTGATGACGTTTGGTAAATTCTTTTAGGGGAGCTTGTTCTCTTAGGCTGCTTGACCTCAATCGATAATTGGATCGGCATTTTTCTTTTCTCTTTTTATCTCTCAACAACTTTTGTTTTAAAACTCGAATCTGTAATACAAATATTTGTTGTGCGTAGTCATTAAACCATTTCATTGAAATGTCATTCCTTTGAATCATTTCTTAGGCAATAAAATTAAATTTATGAAAGCTGGAGGCCAACATTCTCAAGAAGTGAAAAAAATGAAGTAAGTGCTCGTTTGTGTTTTTTAGGAATGTCCTTTTTGATTATCTTCTTGTCATATCATCATTAATCCAGATTTAAATTAGATGGACTGGATGTGTATTTTCCGTACGACAAAATATATCCCGAGCAATATGAATACATGAGAGAATTATACAGCTCCCTCCGTAAAGGTGGACACTGTTTACTCGAAATGCCTTCGGGAACAGGAAAAACTATTTCTTTGCTCTCGCTGATCACTTCATATCAACTTACCGAAGAAGGAAAAACAAGAAAATTAATATATTGCACAAGAACGGTTCCTGAAATGGAGAAGGTTTTGGAAGAATTAAATTCTTTGATTGAGTACAGATCCAAGCATGTTAACGCTCCCATCATTGGAATTGGATTAAGTAGTAGAAAGAACTTGTGCATTCATCCAAAAAGTCAAGCATTTCTTCATGACGGATCGCATGTAGATAGTATTTGTAGAAGTCTTACTGCTGGTTGGTTAAGAGCTGAGGCAAAAGAGAAAGTTGATTCCAGTAATGGTGCAGTCACTCCTACTGTGGTCAACAATGGCACCACAGTACTTGTTGAAGACATTGAATTATGCAATTATTATGAGAGATTTATTGAATCCGCACCAACCGATACAATCCTTCCCAATGGTGTTTATACCATGAGAGACTTGAAGATTTTTGGTAAAAAGAAGGGATGGTGTCCTTACTTTTTATCCAGAAGAGCAATAGAATATGCCAATGTTGTAGTTTACAGTTACTCATATTTATTGGACCCTAAAATTTCCTCCATCATTTCCAAAAACATTCCTAGTAATTCTATAGTTGTGTTCGACGAAGCTCATAACATTGACAATGTTTGCATTGAAGCTCTTTCGATTAATATTGATAGAGACGTTATTGGAATTGCTCGTAATAACCTTACTAAGCTTGAAGAAAATATTTCTCAAATGGAAAAAGTTAATAGTCAAAGACTTCAAGAAGAATATAGAAGACTAGTGGACGGATTGGGTGCTACAGGTGTAGGAAGAGTTTCTAACTTATCCACTCTATCAAGTGATGATGAATTTTTATCAAACCCAGTTTTACCGAGCGACATTATGAAAGAGGCGGTTCCAGGAAACATTAGAAAGGCAAACCATTTTGTTAAATTTATGAAACGATTTACTACTCATGTAAACAAAAGACTTCAAACTCAAAAATCAATCAATGAAACTCCTGAACAATTTTTAAACAATCTGGCCGAAAGCATGGAAATTGACGCAAGATCTTTAAGATTTTGCTCAGAACGTTTAGTTTCACTGATGAACACATTGGAAATTAAGAATATTTATGATTTCAATGGTATTCGAATTATAATGGATTTTGCAACTTTAATTGGCACTTACCAAGAAGGCTTTATTATTATTATTGAGCCATATGATCCAAGAACTCCCACAAACCCTGACCCAATTTTACAGTTTAGTTGTATGGATGCATCTTTGGCGATTAGCAAACCCGTCTTCAATAGATTCCAAACAGTAGTACTGACAAGTGGTACACTCTCTCCTCTTGAAATGTATCCTAAGCTTCTCAAATTTAAACCTGTTATTTCCAAATCATTAGAGATGACTCTAACAAGAGAATGTATTTGTCCTCTTGTAATGACAAGAGGAAGTGATCAAGTAGCTGTGACAACAAAATATCGATTTAGAAATGACGCGTCTGTTCAAAGAAACTATGGAAATTTAATTTTGGAGTTGTCAAAATATGTACCAGATGGTATTGTTTGTTTTTTCACATCATATCAATATATGGAAGACATTGTTTCTTTTTGGAACTCTGTAGGAATCCTTAACTCTATAACAAATCACAAACTTGTATTTATTGAAACACCAAACACTGCAGAGACTGCCATTGCTTTAGATAATTACAGAAAGGCATGTGATTGTGGAAGAGGAGCTATATTCTTCAGTATTGCAAGAGGAAAAGTTGCTGAAGGAATTGATTTTGACGGCCATTATGGAAGATGTGTTGTAATGATTGGAGTTCCATTCCAAAATACTGAAAGTAAGATTCTCAAAGCGAGATTGAATTATTTACGACAAAACTTCTCAATTAAGGAAGAAAACTTTCTCACGTTCGATGCCTTAAGGCATGCGTCTCAATGTATTGGACGTGTGATCAGAAACAAAGCAGACTATGGTATCATGATTCTCGCAGATAAGAGATATAACCAACCTGACAAAAGAAACAAATTACCAAGATGGATCGCAAAACAAATCAAAGACTCCTATCTCAATTTGTCGACAGATGCCATTATTGGAATAGCAAGAAAATATCTTAAAGAAATGGCTCAACCATACTCAGCTACCAATCAGTTATTGGGCCCTGAGGAAATTGAACAACTTTCAAAGAAGAGAACTATTGAACAACTGGAAAGTACTCCCCAAAACACTCTGACTCAACAACCCCCAACCAAGAAATAAACGTAATATGATTGAACATCAACACCTTATCCTGCAGGATCACGGTTTTTCTTCAGCGACAAACAGCCAAACACTGGAAAAGAATCACCCAGAAAGGTTTGACGGCAATTCTTGGGTGATGGCTTGTTGAATATCAGCCAAAAAAATATTCTCTCCATCCCTAATTCATCTGCTTCTTCGGCAGTAGATTGTTGTTTGCGCACACTACCACAACACATCTGCTTCTTCTTTTCTACCTGGGTCATCACCACTCTTCTAACCATTATTAGTAGCTACTTAGGCTCCTGCCATTACTTTCAATTTATTGTATAATCTTTACCAGCCAATCAAATCAATTGTATAACAACAGAATGAGCGCGGAAAGCAACTCCACAAATCTTCACTCTAGGAAAGTGTTTTTGGACGATGATATCAAAGGTATCAATTTTAATGAAAGAGTGATGAAAGATGTTCCTGCACCAGTTTGGAACTTTATTCCAGCTAATGAACTGTTTGACACTGATGGACTTCCAAACATACAAAATCTCAAGAAACACCTCTTGAGAGAAGGAAGAGTAAATCCAAAGGATGGTATGAGACTCATCAACAAGGCCGCAGAAATTTTGAGAGATGAGCCTAACTTGCTTCAACTACAAGACCCTATCACAGGTTAGTTTGTTATTTACGATGATGATCATCATGGTTAATATTTGATATTGTTCATCACTACAATCAGTATGCGGAGATGTTCATGGTCAATATTATGACTTGGTAAAATTATTCGAAATTGGTGGAGATCCCTCAAGCGATGTAAAGTACTTGTTCTTGGGAGACTACGTTGATAGAGGTTATTTTGGAACAGAAGTTTGCTTCTTGTTGCTGTCCTACAAGATCAGATATCCAAACTCTTTCTTCATGCTCAGAGGTAATCATGGTATGTATTTGTGATGAAAGGGTTCAAACTCATCGTTTTATTGCTTCCTCAACTCTCTTATTTGATGTCCTCACTTGATCCATATAGAGTGTCGCCATTTATCTGCTTACTTCAACTTTAAACAAGAGTGCTTATTCAAGTACAACGAAGAAGTGTACGACTGCTTTATGCAATGTTTTGATTGCTTGCCTTTGGGTGCTTTGTTGAACGGTAGATTTTTGTGTGTTCATGGAGGCCTTTCTCCTGATATCAAAACTTTGGATGATATTAATGATATTGATAGATTCCGAGAACCTCCAAGCAACGGCCCAATGTGTGATCTTTTATGGTCCGACCCAATGGACGATGAAGAAGAAGAAATCAATCCCGATAGCGAATTTGTGAATAACGAATTGAGAGGTTGTTCTTATGTTTTCAGCTATGAAGCTGTCAACTCCTTCTTGAAAGATAATAACTTGCTCTCCGTTATTAGAGCTCATGAGGCTCAAGATGAAGGTTATCGTCTTTATAAGAAGGGACCTTCTACTGGTTTTCCAACTGTTATCTGCATTTTCTCTGCCCCTAACTATTGTGATGTCTATAATAACAAGGGAGCAATTATTAGATTCCAAAACAACTTGATGAACATTAGACAATTCAATTGTTCTGCTCACCCATACTTCTTACCAAACTTTATGAATACATTCAACTGGTCCTTACCATTCGTTGTTGAAAAGGTTATGGATATGTTCAACGTAATTTTGAATTTATGTGATGAGCAAGAAGATGCTGCTAGCGATGATGAAGACCTATTATCTGGTCAATCAAGCATCACTCCTGAAAGAGCTGACCTTATCAAAACTAAGATTAGAAGTGTTGGTCGTCTTTGCAGAATGTACACCACACTAAGAGAGGAACATGAATCAATAGTCATGCTTAAAGGCTTGGCTGGAGGTGTTTTACCAAGAGGTTTACTTTCACAAGGACCTAATGCAATCCGAAATGCCATTATTGACTTTGAGACGGCCAGAAAACTTGACGAAGTCAATGAAAAGATGCCACTTCAATACAAGAGAGAAAGAGAGACCAACCCTCCAAGAAAGCTCAAGAGAACCGAATCAGAAATTGTTAGAGATCTCTCCTCTCCTCTTAAGAAGCCTGAGATTAAGGTTGAAGATGAAAAGATGGATTGCAAAAACTAAAACACATGTGTGGACATTTTAATGATCATCATCATCTGCGAGTACATTCTGAATAACATTTATTTTCATATTCATATCATGAATTATTCTTGTTCCAACTCAATCAAAACACCCCCACAATCTTTTGGATGAAGAAAAACGACCGGCTTTCCATGTGCTCCGATCTTTGGTTCCTTGTCTAAACTACGAATTCCCTTTCCAACCACGTCAGCTAGAGCTTTTTTGATATCGGCAACTTCGATACACACATGATGCATTCCGCCAGATGGATTTTTTGCAAGAAAACCAGCAATTGGCGATTTTTCTCCGTATGGATACAACAATTCGAATTTTGTGTTGTCCAATTCAACAAAAACAACAGTTACTCCATGTTCTGGAAGAGTCTGGGGCTCACTCACTTTCTTTGCTTGAAGAACATCTCTATAGAACGCAGCAGCTTTTTCAAGATCGGGAACAGCAATGGCAACATGATTTAATTTTCCGAGCTGTAACTTGTCAACAATACTGGAGGTAGTTGAATATTCTCTTCTGTTGAAAGAGGTTGCCACTGATCCTCCTAATTGGAAAAGTGAGGATTTGCCTGTGTGAGTAACAGAAAGGCTGAATGCTTGTCGGAGTGAAAAAGCACTTTTCTTGATTTGATGAGAAAGCATTTTTTTACTATGCTTCGTTTTGACTTGGTTGATGTCAGTGTTTTTAATTCGTGATGATATGTGTTTTACTAGTCCTACTCCATTGATTTTCCACTTTGATGGAACTGTTTCTTTCATGTGAACGGTGGTGTTTGAATGAGATCTTATTATTCTCTTTGTACAAAATCTGATTTCAATAATACACATTTGGGTTATATCTTCCATAATATCTTGGGCTTTCCAATCGATCTACACTCGAGTACATATTGGAAGACTTGGTGGCTGCTGTTAAAGATGACTTGTTGCTTGAATCTTCCATTTGTTTGGCTGTTTTGAGATCTGATTGAAGTCGTCTATTCTCAGACTCCAATCCTTGAATTTTCAATTTAGTTTCATGTTGAAGGAAAGAAAGTTGTTTTTCTGCATCTTCAAATTTAGCCTTATAGGATAACGTCTTTTCTTGTTCCTTTTTAATAGCTTGTCGTAACTGCCTTATTTCTTCTTGATAATTGTTTTCAAGATTTTGTATTTCCTCTCTGTTATCAGCTAATAGCTTTTCTTTCTCTTTTCTAGTTTGTACCAACAATTTTTGATATTTTTCATTGTTTTGGTGAATGATTTTCTCCAAAGAGATAATTTGTTTTTCCAACTCAGCCTTCTCCCTTTCGATGTTTTTCAAATTTCGTTGATATTGGGTATTTGAAAATTGAATTTTATCTACATTCTTTTCCATTTCTTTCAATTGGGTTTGAAGAGTTTGTTTTTCTTTCTCCAATCTAGATCTAGTTAGTTGTTCTTGATGAAATTCCATAGACTTTCGCAAAGTTAGAAAGTAGGGTGATCCCTCCGAATGTAGCGTTGATGCAGAGGTATGTGGTTCCAACAATGAAGGAGATGATTGTAATAGGGTGGTTGTTGTATTGTTGGCATCATTAGGAGTGTTGTTTATGCTCGTTTTCAGTTGAGCAATCTTGTTTTCATATCCATCAATAATAGTACAAATTTTAGCCTTTGATTCTACAATTTCATTCTGTAACTTCTCGATCAGAGGGACGAAATGGTTTGAAAGTTGGCTGTCAATGGAATCCACCAAACTGGAAGGATGGTCATCCTTGATTGTAGGTACCGAATTTTTCATAAACGAAGAAGTATGATGATCATCTATAGCATCATCTTCAGTTATATTCACTAGATCATCATCATGAGGATGTTGATGACGATCGGAACTCTTCGTGTGCTGTATCAAAAGTCCAGCAGTGGTGGTGGGTGACTTGGAGTTTTTCATTTTTTAAAATGAGAGAGGCAAGTCAACTGCTAATAGGATACTATTTACATGTATGTCAATAAGCATCATGTTTACTGTTATTGATCATTGTTTTCTGTTGGGATGGTAATGACAGTTTCGGGTAAGGATGGTGTGCTTGCAGGTGATGGTTCAACTTTTCTTGCCGATGAGAGTGACGATTGTTGAATATGAGCATTGTTTCTAAGGAAATTCTTAATGTCATTCTCGTTCGCTCTGATAGATATCGATCCAAATTTGCAGTTATCTTGCATGCTAACGAAGGAGTTAGAATTGGCACTCGAGTGCTTTCTAAGTTCAGCAGATCTAATTCTACTTTTTGGTATTTTGGTTTCTAATTGTGACGACTCTGATTTCAAATTCAGAACTTCAAGTGTTTGGCTTAGAGTAGATTCATTTTCTTCTGGAGGTGATATTTGTATGGCAGTAATACCAGGAGGAGCTAAGTGATTATTGTTTTCATAAATTGGCTTTTCTTTGAAAGAGCTTTTGGCTGAATAGGTTGTTATGGAGGATCCTGGTCGAGATTTTAGAAGTTTCTTGTGACTCATGCTACGGTAAATTGGGTTATTGCTATAGAGATCTTCATCATCAGAGTCATCAGAAAAGTCTTTGGTTGGAAAGTCATCAAATGTGAAACCATCGTCTTCATACACATCCTCCTCTTCATCGTCTCCCTTTTTCCTGCTGTACTCATGTGGAGTTCTAGGTGTGATTCCAATGGACATTTGAGAAACTGATTCCAGTTCGTCAGAGTTGTCGTTTACAATAAATGGATGTTCCAATAGCTGTTTGGCTGTGGCTCTTTTTGAAGGATCTCTTTGTAAACAGCATCTAATAAAGTCTTTTGCAACTTGAGAAGAGTTCGCAGGTATTTCTACAGAATCGTTTTCGGTGGTCATAATGTAATGCATTAATTGAATAGGATGCACAGGTTGTTCAAATTTTGACAGTACGTGAGACCATGGAGGATTTTGAGAAAACATTTCACAAACAGTGCACCCAAATGACCAAATGTCTGCTGCTTGAGTATAGGTACGGTCACGTATGACTTCAGGCGCAATATAATTAGGGGTTCCAGCGATTACAAAGTTTCCAGTGTTAGATGGAGAAGAGGAATCATCTGCCATCGCCAACGAGCTAAGCTTCTTCGAGCATCCAAAGTCTGTCAAATAAACGTTACTTCTCTCGTCTACAAGAATATTACCACTCTTAATGTCACAATGTACAACGCCATTTTCATGTAAATAGCTCAATCCCTCCAAAATTTGCTTGCAATATTTTCTTATTAAATTTTCTGGTAGAGAAAATTCAAGCAATAGCGTTTCCATGGATCCGCCAGGTATATAGTCTAAAAATATGTTTAAATGTTTGTTTGACACAAAACTTCCTAAATATCGTACAATGTGAGGATGATCAAATTGTGACATAAGTTCGACTTCTTCCATTATCTTTTTAACCTCTTCTCTATTCGTCTTTCCTTTGATTTCAATTTCCTTGATAGCCATCATTTGTCCTGTTTCAGAGTTGATACCGAGAAACACTTTCCCGTTGGCGCCTGCCCCAATCATATTTCCCTTGATCCAGGTTTTGATTTTTGTTCGTTTCGTTGGGAAAACCTTTGTCGTGGTAAGGGGACTTGAAGGTAAACCATCAGTACCAGTACTTGCTCTTGAAGAAACAACGTCCTCAATGATTAATTTGGGTTTTTTGTAAACGTTAGCTCCGCTAGAATTTTGAAAATTTTGAAAATTCTCCAAACTACTTTCTACAAAATGGTCCAAATCTGTCTGCGTTCTAATCGATATAAGCTCTTTGTCTTCGTCATCTACGTATTTGATGCTAACTTTCTCGCTAAAATTATTTTTTGATGGAAAATTACTGTAGTGGCTTGAAATTATTTCATAAAGATCATCCATAGTCATTGATAAAAATATAGAGATAATTGTTGTTTCTTGCTTGTATGAAAGTTTCACTTTGAGTTTCTTGTTAGGGGAAATGCTTGGTAGTGATGATGATTTTGGAATAGTTGTTGTTGAGTTAGACTTTCTTGCAGAGTTGGGTTGTTTACCGATAGGAGAACTTGATGGATTATCAAAACTCTTCATGAGATTTTCTTGTGCTGCCTGTACTTGATCATCTCCGCTTTTTATGAGATGGAATTTGTACGAAGGTTTTTGCCAAAATCTTGCTCTATTGACCAGTCTAAGTTCTACGTTGGCTGGTGCTTGTTCCTCAGTGATGTTAAAAGTACTATCGAATGCTCCTTTTTGCCCTCTTCCGTACAATGTTCCTTCAGCAGAGAATATTTCAGATACTTTGCTGGTGACCTTGAATGTGAATTGAAACTTGGCGTTTCCTGCCGATTCAATGGAGATGTGATATTCTCCCGAAGACAGCTATTTGGAATAATTTTAAATCGGACGATCATCGCATCCAAGAACAGCATCCCAACAAAACAACAATTCGTTTTAATCTGCCGATATTATCAAACAAACTTACTTCATTCTGAATCACTCTCTCCTTCTCTGGTAAAGTATCCTCCTCTTGTAATTCAAATCGAGAAGAACCCTTTACCATTGCTGAACAGCAATAATTTTAAATTCCATCATCAATATTAATATGTGCATGGATCCAAACAATAATAAACTCACTTTTGAAAGAGGCAATATCTTCCAAGGCACTCTCCGCAAAGCTTGTTATAAACGGATTCGTTGATCGTTTCGTTTGGCCCGAACTATTTGCTGAAAACATTTTTTCTGTTATGGCTTGTGCATCTCAAACAAACAAGATGCAACTCGGGGACATTATGCATAATAATGAGTATTTTGATCAGGGTACCTCATGAATGGATGACCCAAAGAAGAAGTGAAGAACGCAAATTTGTTCCAACAACATTTAAACAACCACTGAAGTCTAGTCTTTCAAGTTAGAAGAAGAGCACCTATTCACAAGTAACAACACTCCCGAAAGAAGAAGCCATCCCTCTCGACGTTGCATTCGAAAGCAACTCCCAAAAAATACCAATGCCCACGATCAGCACAGGATTAGCCTCCTCTCCGTTACACTCAGGCAGCAGCAACAGCTGTGGTAGGGATCATGATCGTTCTTTCTTGTCGTCAGTGTCAGTGGATAAAACCAGTGCCGACACTTTGAACCATCAACTCTCTCATCAAGGTTCTGATTCATCTCTCAAATCAACATCGTCGTCCTCTTCATTGACTTCCGCAACAAATTCACCAGTGGTGGTGGTAGTAGCTCAGCCCACTTCTCCTAAAAACCCATCTTCACTTCCTTCCAACAGTACCATCACCACGCTTTTGAACAAAAGTGGAGCAACAACATTCTATGATTGGTTCAATCATAATTTAACGACTCCGATCTCTGATAATATTAAAACAGCCAAGTCATTTGTATCTTCTTCTTGGAAAGGAGTCATGTCCATCACAAATAACGTTAAAGAGAGCGTTAATATTCGTAGAGTTTTGGAAGATTTTGTTCAGGTGGGAACAAACAGTAGACATTCTTCACCAGCAAAAAACGACTCAATTACTTCAACTCATCGAGACCAAGATCAGAATACATTTCAAATTCAAATATCACTCACTAACCTGATTGACAATGTAGATACACTTTCTCCTTTGTTTTATAACGACGAATTTGTTTCTTTTGATGCCTATCAAGAGTTTTTGTTGGACTATTCTAAAAAGTTAAACAATTTTCTGACAAATTATTTCAAAATACAAGACAATATCGGTATTAACTCTAAAAAGTTACTGGAATTGTATGATATGTGTGTTCTGATAACAAAAGAAAATGCTCAAACAAATAAGCAAAAGAAATATGCCAGTGACGTTGATAAATGCATACAGAAATGGCTATTTGAAGTGGTAGCAGTAGATGGAACATTCAACATTCATCACGTGAAAGATCGACAATTGTATAAAAAGTTGAAACTATTCCAAAATATACTAACACCTAAAAATTTAGGACTACCAAATGATTTCTACAAAAACTCTGAAGCATGGAATGAATGTGTACACTTGTTGAGAAAAATTGGCCAATATAAAACACCATATGGAAAGAAGATTATTATTGAGAGGATTTTTAGAGGAATCTCAGAAGTGTGTTCAAAGATTGATGAGGCATTCTCGTCTGACCACCTTTTAAGCTGTACAATTTATTTAATATTGAAGGCATGTCCTCACAATTTACATAGTGACATGTGGTTCCTTGTGACCTTTTGTTTAGACGGCATTTATGAAAACGAAGGAAATGAGATATTTGGATTTTTGTTAACAAACATGTATTGTGCTTTAGAATTTTGGGACCATGTACCATCTTTCAACGAGGATGGTCCAACAGGATTTGTAAATATTGAAAAGAAAGACTCACTGTCTGCTTGTGGCTCTGGTAATCAAGGAAGTAGTAACTCTTCAACCTCTACAGACGAAGAAATTGTTTTTGAAAAATTCAGAATCGACGACGAGGAAGAAAAGGCCAAATTCAAAAAAGCTTTCAAAATGGCTCGAAGAAGAACACGAACCTTTGAACAAATGATTATTGACAATTTTCATCAATAAGGGTGTGATTGGTAAACTCGAGTGCCGATTTCTTGTATCAATATCTCGATTTTTGTATGTCTTGTTGTGCGGCTCCAGGTCACACAAACCAGCAAACAACAAAATCACAATAAAATATTCAAAAAAAAAGCCTCAAATGATTCAGCGGTTTTTATTTGCTGTGATGAACGACTACATTTGCTTCTCGGATGAAGTGCCAGCAATAGGTTTACTCTTCCCTTGCTTGATATGATAAATACAATCAACATTACACTTATCGCAACACTTTTTACACATTTTGTATTTACATTTACCTGACACTTTCACCAGATGGCAACCAGGATTTGTTTAAAAATAATAATATTTTACTACTGAACAAAATAGCCTATTATCTTGATGAATTAAAAGAGATCCCGAGAGACCCCATGGAATCCAATACTTGAGAGCATTTACAGCATTGTGCTGTTGTTTTTAGTGTTTGAGTAACCTGCCATTACCTGCCATCCATACTCAAAGTTTGTGAAATTATCAGGTAAACTCAATCAGTCTCAAAAAAAAATTGACAAGTTCTAGTAGTGCTTTATTATCTTGATGAATACTAAGAGAAACCGTGAGATCCCATGGAATCCAATACTTGAGAGCATTTACAGCATTGTGCTGTTGTTTTTAGTGTTTGAATAACCAGCCATTACCTGCCATCCATACTCAAAGTTTGTGAAATTATCAGGTAATTGAAATCAAAATCGAAAAAAATTAAAAGATTCTCTCAATAAATTCCGAATCTTTTGACATACGGGTATCGAGATCAGGTTCTGAAATGAGGTTTATTTTCAATTATCGCCACTTTTTCCCAAAATCGAACCTATCTCTGATACAATTCATAGATATTCATTCTCCATTTATAGACCTATGTGTGTGAGCAGGTTGATTCGATTCCAATCTTGCAAAATTTCCTAAATTCCATTCCTTTTATAAATACGCGAAAATGCAAAACTGCCCTCAAGGAAACTCTTGCAATTTTAAGCTACAAAAAACAAGCAACACCATTGTTGTAGGGTTGTGTGTCAGACAGTATTCAGAGACTACTCCTTCAGATTCATTCAACAACATGCTATATTCCTCTTCCTCCTTGCATAAAGTAGTGACGTTGGGCATTCTTAAGAACCAGATTCAGTCCAATTCGATCATGATCATTCGAGAACTCATTTCATCTTCTCATCCTATTCGTTCCTATTCATCCCTATTCTCAAGAGATCTAAAGAAGCTTCGATCAACAACAAACAACCATCATCAAACCACCACCACATCAACCACCAGTAAGAATGGTCCATTCCATCATTACAACTCCGCAAAGACCTCTCACCATCCCATGCATGGGTCCTATGTGGTTGCACTTGCATCGAAGGCAGTTGAAGATCATTCAGTGACATCCTCAGAAGAATCTTCAACTGAAACTGTACAACCAATTTCCTATGGCCATCTCTTTGCAAGAGATTTAATAAGAAAGAAAAAACACTGAAGAGTATGAATGTGTGACTATGAATGTGTGTGCGCACTGAGTTTGGAAACATGTTTGTAAATAATGACCATGATATTAAGATCCTCACATAAGGAGAGAGTTTTCCTATGTTCCTAATTATGTATGATAGTATTGTACGATAAAAACACAACAACAATGACTACTCAATTGTAAAAGGCAAAAACTGCAATACATTATTTCTTATTCTAACATGCCAAAAGTGGAATCATGTCGTTCTGACATCCACAGACTGTTCTTCTTCATCGATAATTGTTCTTCTTTCTGAGAATCAATGATAAATTCTAAGGTTCAATTACATTCAAACTTGAAACAAACATTTAACAACGTAAATTACCTGAGATGGTTCTGAAATTGTGGCATAGTCTCAATTAATAATTATTAGAGTTGTGGTTTCTTCCATCATTATCTCTTCACCTATGGCCTGATTTCCATTTTCGGCACAATTCAATCATTTTAATTAACATTTTCAAACACAGAGACACACACGCGAGAGAGAGAGAGCGAAAAGAAAAAATTACTCGAAAGTCGACCTTTTGTCACCAGTAGGCAGTACTACAATAACAACACCATTCTTGACCAACAACAAGACTCTCGTGTTGAATTTTTATCAAAAGTACTTTTGTGGTGTTTAATTGGAATGTGAATCATTTTCGGAAATTTTCTTCTTTTCAATCGTATTTTGATTAAATTAATTTTGAATATATTTCCATCATCATCACAGACACACACAAATGAAGTCTTCCTCTCTTCCAACAACCTCTTCAGAAACTCGTAGTCATCACGTGGGTTCTGTTCCTTCTTCTTTAACATCATCTCCGAACTCACCATCTCCTCATCAGAATCATCAGAATCACCACCACACTTCTCATCATCAGACTCATCATCATACCTTTCTTCCTCCTCATTCCTACATGATTCAACAACAAGAACCAACCTCATTGAGTAATGATAAATCCACCTTACTTGCAAAAAAACAAGTCAAACAATTGAGATGGATTGATTTTATTAGTGGATCGATGGCTGCAATTGTTTCAGATACATTATTACAACCTTTGGATACAGTGAAAACAAGACAGCAATTTGTGGGAGAGGTCGTTGCTGGTGGTCAAACAACAAATCGATTTGTGTATCGGAATGTTTTTGATGCATTTTGGACGATTGCAAGACAAGAAGGAATGAGAGGATTATTTAGAGGATGGGTAGGTGTTGATCAAAAATAGTTTGTGTGTGTTCATGTATTTATTATGATTGTTATCAAATGTGCGTGTGTGAATTTTGTAAATATACGTGTGAAATTTTACCATGTCCACATGATGTGTTGAATTTTGTTGAATGTGGACATGAATTGTTGTGATTACATTAATACATACCACATCAACAATGTTCACCATGGATGAAACACAGGTCCCTACCATGTTTGGAAGTTTACCAGCAGGTGCCATCTACTTTGGAACTTATGAATCAATGAAACGTTTCTCAATGCAACATTCTGAATATTTAAGAGAACACAAACATTTTGCATACATGCTTAGTGGTAGTATTGCAGAGTTTATGGGAAGTTTAGTATTTGTTCCATCTGAATTGATCAAATGTCGTTTCCAAACAAATACTTTACCTCAATATCAATTAGAACAAGCGACTTGGAAAACTTTTTATCAAGTGGCAAAGGTGGAGGGAGTGACAGGATTATTTCGAGGATATTCTGCAACGATGGTGAGAGACATTCCTTATAGTATGACACAATTTTTATTGTATGAATTGTTAAAAAAAACAATTCTGAAACGAAAAAAACAAGCAATGAAACAACAAGAAATGGAATTATCGAGTAATAATAATCATTTGGATGTGACATCACAAGGCAATGGAAATTACATGTTAAAAACGATACCACCAAAAGTCAAATTAAGTGTTTTAGAATCAATCTTGGTTGGAGGAACGGCAGGTGGTGTGGCTGCATGTTTAAGTAATCCTATTGATGTCATCAAAACTCGGCTTCAAACTTCCATTTCATTTCGAGGTGGTTTTCTGAGTATGTTTCGACATATCATGAAGGAAGAGGGATGGAGAGGGTTTTTCAAGGGTGTGACACCGAGAGTGATGTGGGTGACATTCTCAACTGCTATCATGTTTTCAGTGTTTGAATTTGTTTCTCACGCATTAACGGAACGATTTGTGGATGATGACAGTAATGGAAGTGATGAGTCAAAAAGTACCAGTAGTGGCAACATTGCATCCTCTTCTTCCACATCATCTATCGAGAAACGTGGGGCTGCCTTGTCTTCCGATCGAGTGCTTTTGGAAAATGTGAATGCAGCCTCTTCTAGTGATTCCTTGAAATAAGTTTTTCATAAAATGTCTAGTTTATTCACAAACGAGTTCTCGACGTTTCAAAATTGCTGGAATCTCTGTTCTAAAGCTTTGGTTATAACTGAATGAACATCTAGAGTGCTCCATCGACACTCAATACTACTCTAGAATGGTTGGAGGCACAAAACATCCTTCATAGCATTCCTCTAATCTTGCTCGATACAGTTTTTCAAAATCAATATTTTGTGAAGTGTAAACAAATCCACTGACTCGACATGCTTCTGCTACCAATTCTGGATCATTCATTAAATCGTCAGAAGCAAATCGCAAAGCAAATCCATCTTGTCTGACAGCTGCCAGCACCACTTCTCTATCACTCACATACAAAGAATTGTACAATAAACAACCTTGTTGTTGGACAGCTTCTAACATCACTTCTCTACTCGGTGTGAACACTTTTTTTACAACTGAGGGATCGAATTTGACAGCTTTCATGAGTATATTCTCTTCATGTCGAACGAACCAAGGCAAACTTTTAAAATTAATACCATCTTTCTGAATTGCTTGCAAAGCAATATCGATATCGTCCTGACATTTGTCACCAGCATAAATATATGCCTTACTATTTTGCTTAACTGCTTCCATTACTATCATTCTTGAATTTGTTAATTTTGATGACGCATATTGTAAACTATTTCCATCATTTTTAACAGCTTCTAACACAATATCACTCGAATTTTTGAAGTGTGATGGTAAGTACTTGAGAGCAGAGCCATTTCTTTTTACAGCCTGCATTGCAATCTCCTTATTATTCTGTAACACGGTTGAGGCATGCTCAATGACATTTCCATCCATAGAAATTGCCTTCATAACAAGTTCCTTATCTTTTCTCAGTTTTTTAGAGGCATATCCAAGTGCAGAGCTGTCATTGGATATGGCTGTCATTACCACTTCTTTGTCATCTGTTAAATCTTTTGAGGCAAATTCAATGGCTCCTCCACGCACTGAGACAGCTTTCAATACAACTTGTCGATCTTGTCTCAATCTTGGAGAGGCAAATTTAAGCGCATAAGCACTCAAAGAAACAGCTTCCATCACAATTTCCTTATCATTTCTTAATTCTTCACTTGCAAATTCTAAGGCTCTTGAGTCTCTCTTGATGGCTTGCAACACTATTTCTCTGTCGTTCTTGAGTCTTTCAGATGCAAATTTTAGAGCAGATCCACATTTGTTTATGGCTTTCAAGACCACTTCTTCATTGTCACGTAATTGATCCGATGCAAAACATAGTGCTGTTCCATTTCTCTTGAGAGCTTTCAATACAATTTCTTTGGAATTTCTCAATTCGTGACTAGCATACCCTAAGGCGTTACCATTTTCCTGCAATGCTAACAGAACGAATTGTCTATCGTTTTTCAATTCTGGAGAAGCATGATCTAGAACGAATAGATTACTGAATAACATTTTTGTGAGAATGCTCTTTAGATTAAGTAACTTGTTGAGTTCATCTCCAAGCACAGATGAATACTGTTCAATGTACTTGTAAATTTGTTGATGTCCAAGTGTGTGAGGGTATTTTTCACAAAGTTTGTATAAGGCCTTAAAACAAATATTACTGTTAAATCTTAGAGCGTGTGAGGCATATTGAATAGCCATTGGATTTTGCTCAATGGCTGTTAATACTACTTGCTCGTCTTTTGTCAACTCGGGTGAAGCGAATTCTAGAGCTAGTCCATTGTTTGATACCGCCTCTAACACAATAGCTTTTAACTGTTTCATTTCATTGTATGCAAACTGTAATGCAAGACCATTTGATTTCACAGCCGCCAGTACAATCTCATAGTCGTTAAAAAACTGCTCATACGCGAATTCTAATGCACTTCCATCAATTTTGACTGCTTTTAACACTAAATCTCGATTTGTAATGTAATGATAGGGGATATATTTAAATCCTTTTCTCTCGACAACAAATAAAATCATATCCATGTCATGATGCAAGTTCTTTGAAGCAAATTTAAATGCTTGTGGATTCTGTTGCACTGCAAGAGTGACAAATTCTTTGTTATTGGTTAATTCTTCAGGTGCATAGGAGAGCACTAAACCATTCCGATGAATTGCTTTTCTCCAAAATTCGTTACTGTTTCGCAGTTCTGATGATGCAAATAATACAGCCTTTGCATGTTGCGATATAGCATTCAAAATAAGCTCTTGATCATGGATCAATAATCTGCTTACAAAATCAACATGTGAAGAGCTTAGGAAGGCTGTTTTGTCTTTCATAAATTCAATCGGCATGAATTTCAGAGATGAGGCACGTTTGATGAATGCATCCCGTGATTTCAACCATTTGAGAAATCCCTGAATTTGTCTTTGGAATTTATCTCTCAACAGTTGTTGCATGTTTCTAGCATTCGAATATTGATGATGACCATCCGAATTCAAAGAGTCACGATCGGAAAGGTCCTCCTCCTCCGATGAAGATTTGCAAAAGTCGATCAGCACAAGAACTGTACAGCCGTTGTTGCACAGGCGTTGCCGATGTGCAAACATTTTTCAGAGGATTAGATGGAAGCATTTCGAGATGCACCAAACAAGTGATTGCTTTGCTCGCTTGTCAAATTATCAATTCTGGTTTGCCTTGAGGGTTTCATCTCTGAGAAAACTTCTTTTGCATATTCTGTGTGCAAAAGTCCAGCTTCTTGTAGAAGTAATTGAAGCTTAAACTTTTTGTCCTTCATCAAGTCTTCAGTTGTGTATCCATAAATCTTTCGAGTGGATGGATGTTGCATTTCATCTTCTTGTTTTTGTTTGTTCAGTAAACTTTGAGTGGGTTGAATTAATCTTTTCGCATCTGTTTCAATATCAAGCAATCTTAACTCTTCGTAAACACCCTGAATAAGCTGATTAAGGTTTTGCTCTCTCTTTAGTTCTTCTTCTTGCCTCTTTTTGAGCATGGCTTTTCTTTGTTCGAGTTTTTCGATCTCTTTGTTTTTTCTAAAGTCAACTCTGTCTTTGTTTCGTTTCTGTAGAATACGATACTGTTCTTGAAGGGCTTCTTCTTCTTGTTTTTGTTCCTCTTCTTTTTTACGTGTTGCCTCCTCCTTTTCAGCAAGATAATTGGCTAATTGTTGCTTTAAATGTTCTCGTCTTTTGGCCTCTTTTTGTCTTTCGAGATCTTCTTCTTGCTTTCGTTGTTGGTCTTCCTTGGCAAGTCTCTCACTTTCTTCTTTCATTTTCTCTTCTTTAATGACAAGTTGCTCTAGCAACAACTTTTTAGTTTGCTCTGCTAATTGTGAAAAGCGTTGTCTCTCTTCTTCTTCTCGATTTTTGTCTTGCATTAGCGAACAGTGAAGAGATATTGATTCCACTGCAAAATTTTCTAGTTTTTGTATCTCATTCAACAGTTTTTCCTTATTTTCTTTTACTTTTTGGATCTCTATCAAATGGACGGTTTTATACCATGTATTGTGTTCTTTCAACTCGGACTCGGTTTTGTGAGGAAGGATCGATTTTAGAGTTTCGTAGTATGAGCTTGCATGATGGGCCGTCGTGCATGAATTATTGAATTGTTTAAAAACTTTTTTAAAGCGTTGATGATCTTCCTTGCTCCATGTGTGACTGCGTGGTTTAAATTTCTCCTTTCTATATTCCTCAATTATGAACTCCAACTTATGCCTTAACTCTGTTAAAAGTTGATCTAGTATTGGATCGATAGCATCTTGAGAATTCACATTTGCTCTTGTTAAACAATTTTGAATTACATCTTCCACCGAAAAAGTATTATTATCAATGGCTTCGTCTACTGTGAGAGGATTTAGACTTTGAAATTTTTTGAATAATTGATTGATCTCATTTTCCATTGATGTGATCGAGTGAGAGGTTTCTAATATTCTTTCCTTCAAAAAATAGTATGTACACTCTTTTACACTTTTTAGTGGGCTATTTACACCCTCGTGTAATTGTCTTAACAAGTTATTTCTATATTCGGTTCTCTCAATTTGATTCTCCCGATCTTCCTCGAAATCTTTTTCAAGCTCTTGTTGAATTTTTCTAAGGCGTTTCCACTCATTAGTCCATTCTATATTTTGAACTTGGGTCTTTATCTGATTCCGGTTAGATGTAACCTTCTTTTTGAATCGAGAAAACTTTTCTATGAGAATACCACTGTCACTTTTGAACTTGGCTAATAATTCTTTTTGCGACTCAGTCTGACTACAGAAATGCGATTTCATCATTACCGTATTGAGACCTCTTGTAAATGGAATGTTTGAAAGGGTACAAACAGGTTCTGATGTTTTCTTTGTAATGCCTTTTAAATGGTCGGAACGTGGTCGGGCAATACTCGACGCTTTCTGCTGAGTATTTGGCAGAGCTGAGCGAATAGATGCTCTTTCCCTATTAGACATGATCAATGACGACGAATTTTTTGTTTCGAATGAAAATTTAAAAGGTTTAAAGTTGGCGCCAACTTGCCTACAAAAAACACTAAAAAATTGTCATCATGTTTAAGAGACCACTCACAGGCAAAGTTAAAGGTGCTCTAGCACAAACGAAAAGTAAATCATCACCGGCTTCGGGATCCAAGAAGACGGAACAAGCAGAAATTGATATTATCAGTATGATCCAAGAGCGGGATTTTGCTGGTGCAATTGCAGTGTTAGAGGTTTGTATGTCAAGTTTCGGATCCATATGACCATTAACAACCATTCTATTATTATTATTTCTTCCCAAAGTTTTTTAAGGGATTAGGAAAGGAGCATCCTAGAGTGAGGCCAACACTACCCTGGTTGGCGTATTGTTGCTATCACCTGGGTGAATATACAAAAGCAATCGAATATCTTGAGGAGCTCTATTCCAAATCCAAAGACTCGTATATATTCCTTCAACTTGCTTGTTGCTATTACTTCTTAGGAGAATATGAAATAGCATATGAGCATGTGTTGAAAGGTCCCGATTGTCCATACCAAAATCGAATTCTTTTTCACATTGCAGACAAGCTACAAAAGGAGGATATTGTGAACCAATGTCACAAAAAATTAAGTGACAATAATATTGAGGATCAGCTGAGTTTGGCCGCAATGCATTTTTCAAGAAATCAGATTCAACCTGCGGTCAACATTTACAAGAACCTTCTATTGGAGGATAGTTCCTTTGAGGCACTTCATATATATGTAGCTCTATGTTATTTCAAATTGGATTTCTTTGATATTTCATTAGAAGTTCTCAACAGTTATCTTCAAAAACACCCAAATAGCCCAACAGCTCTAAACCTGAAAGCGTGTAACATTTTTAAAACATACTCGGGCAAAAAAGCAGAAGCAGTTCTTCAACCTATTGTGGAGCTTCAACAAACATCTCATACTTCAGAGAACTATCTTATCAAGCATAATATGGTCGTATTTAGGAATGGAGAAAATGCTTTACAAGTTCTTCCGCCTCTACTTGATGTGTTACCTGAGGCGAGACTCAACTTGGTTATTTATCACTTGAAAAATGGGGATGTAGACGAGGCATATGAACTTATCAAGGATCTAGAACCAGTCAAGGCAAGTGAATATATCTTAAAAGGAGTGGTAAATGCTTGTAAAGGTCAACTTCATGATACAAGAGAGCATTTGAAAAATGCTGAACATTACTTCCAACTGGTAGGAACATCTGATACTGAATGTGACACAATTCCTGGAAGACAGTGTATGGCATCATGCTTTTTCCTAACAAAAAGATTTAGTGACGTCATTGTATATCTTCAGTCCATAGAAAATTTCTTCCAAAATGATGACGATTTCAACTGGAATTATGGAATCGCTCATGCCTACGTTGGAAACTACAAGGATGCAGAAAAAATATTATTAGCTGTCCAAGATGAAAGTTATAGAAGAGACTATGTGTACAACAGCTGGCTTGCAAGGTGTTATATTATGAATGGGAAACCAGAACTTGCTTGGGAGCTCTACCTTAAAATGGAAACCTCAATTGATGCCATGAACTTGCTGCAGCTCATTGCTAATGATTGTTACAAGATTGGATCTTTCTATTATGCTGCTAAAGCGTTCGACGTTTTGGAGAGGTTAGACTCAAATTCTGAGTTTTGGGAAGGTAAACGAGGAGCATGTATTGGTGTGTTCCAGCAAATCGTTATCGGTAAGGAACCAAGCGAAACTCTGCGGGACATTGTGCACATGCTCAAGAACTCAAACAGAGAAGAAAAGAATATCATTCTTCAAATCATTGCAAAGTGGGCTCATGAGAATAACCTAATTTCGAATTAAAATTACACACTGTATATATATATTATAATTAGTTAAAGAGGTTTAGAATCTAGTTACTTGTCCATAACTTATCTAATGGTTCATATTTCACCTTCTCAATAACTTGTTCCGAAATTAAGGCAATTTCTTGAGCAATTTCTTCAATACTCTTTGTAGCATCGATCACTTTAACTTTCTTATCATTTTCAAAAAGCACTTCAAATTGATCTTTCACTAATTGTTGAAACTTTTCCTTCTCATATCGTTCCATGCCATATTCTTTTCGTGACGAAGCGACACTAGCATCCACTTTCAGATAAATGACAAGATCTGGCTCAATAAGACCAACATCAGGAGCTTGACACCAACGCCTATCCATTCCTTTTGCAGCGCTATAAGCCACACCGCTGTATGCATATCGTCCACACACAATATGCTCTCCTGATAGTAATGTTTTTTCAATCCATGCCATCTTGTCCCATCTATTGGCGGAGAACAACAAGTGGATGGCATTATCGTTCATGTTGTTTTTATTTCTCAAGTAGGCATCACACAATTTTCCAATATCCGTCGAGCGATCGGGAAATGCTGTTTCATGAACTTGAGGATATTTACTTTTCAGAAAATTTAAAAGTAAATTTGTTTGTGTGGTCTTTCCGCATCGGTCAAGACCTTCAAAGACAATGAAAGCTCCTCGAGCTTGTGCCATTTCAGAGAGAGAGTTGATGATTATTTTTTGTTTTTCGAAAAAGAATTTAAAATTCGTAACGGTCACACCACACTTTTGGTTGCATTAAATTTATTGCTCCATGAATCTCTTGAATTCATTTTCCATCGCAATGGCATCCGACCGAAAAACTTGTGGAGGATGGTCAAAACTTTCCGATGAGGAAGCATGTTTTCGTTTAGAGCTGTCTATAGTTTGCAAGGATGGAAATGATGGCATATTCTCTTTCGTTTGAGGGAGAGGGGCTTCTTTGAAAAAAGGATGTGACAACGCCTCTTTTGCTGTAATTCTCTTATCTGGATCAAAGCATAGTAACCTGTTCAATAGATCACATCCAGAGTCTGATAACTGAAATTGGGTCTTGAGACGTTTAATTAATGAGGCTCTTCCCTTAATGTTATCTATTTGCCATTTGAATTTTTTTATCGCTGGTAATTGTGTAAATCCAGGATATTCTTGTTCAGTTGGTTTTCCTAGTATCTCGAAAATCTTTTTAACTTGATCAATTTCATCCTTTCCTGTAAACAAAACCTCTCCTGTAATAATTTCATAAAATATGCATCTAATAAGCAAAGGTAAAAAGGCATTATACTTTACAAAAATTATAAACGTACCCAACGCTCCACATGTCTATTGGAGTCGAGTATTTTTTTGTTCCAAGTAATAGCTCAGGTGCTTAAAACAATTCAAAATTTCGCTTCAACACTTATGATTATTCTAAATGTAAACACTCACCTCTGTACCAAAGAGTCACCACAACTGGTGTATAATTATCCCTAATTGGAGAACCATATTTTCTTGTCAATCCATAATCACAAATTTTTAAGCAGCCTTGATTATCTGCCTTGCACAGAGAATTTCATCAACAGTTATCGAAAATAATAAAAATAATAACAATTATCGGATTAAATATCAATAATATGTACCTAGCAAAATATTGGAAGATTTTAAGTCTCGATGAATTAGCCAGCAATCCTCATGGATGTATTGCAATCCAGAAAGGAGTTGAATCATTAATCTCTTTCCTTCACTGACACTGAAACGATATCTTTCCATCACATCCTTGAGAGTATGATCCATGTAATCCATCACAATAAATATTTTGTTGAGATCTGATCCACACACTACCTCTCGTGCACACACTAAATTTTCGTGTCGCATTTGGAGTAAAGTGTTCATTTCACGAAGAGCAGTCAAAGGAAATCCCTCTTTTGAAGTAAAGTCTTTCATCAATTTAATCCGTTTTAGAGCAACAATTTCACCTGTAGTTTTACATTTTCCTCGACTGACAACTCCAAACGTTCCGCTTCCAATATTATTCAAAAACTCGTAATTTTCAACGCTTGAACAAGCTGAAAATCCAGTAATTTGCTCGATATCAAATTCCTCATTTCCATCGGAAGGAGCAATATTGTGAGAAGATGCATAATTAATATCGTTATTATTATTCTCTTTTTCATCCATATGATCTTCTTCTACATTTACCACTTCTGATTCCCCTCCTACATCATCACTCTTTTCATCATCACTTTTGTATCCCTCCGAAATGCTTCCAAGAGAAGAACTGGAAGCGATTGCGTCGTTGAGTTTTCTCTTCATTTTTTGCTGATGGATGCGAAACCATACTTTGAAAAAATGCCGCAACAACAACAACAATTCAATCATGCTGGTAGTAACAGGTTCGGTTTGGTCAATATGTAAATTTTCTCTTTGATGATGACTGATTTTGTAAAACAAATTTATGGAATTGATCTTGTTGCTGATCATACATGGTGTCAAAATTCCGCTTTAATTTATTTTTAAATTAGAAACGTATCATCACAGCAAACACATCACGGCAACAACAATCGGAATACACAAAGACCATACCATCAGCATCATACGAAATCGCAAGATTCATTGAAACCTAAACACACACAAGCGTATGAACAATTACAAGAAAAGTTCAAGAACCCTGAAGAGGTTAAACAAAAATTTAGAGAGAAGAAGCGCAAACAATGGGAAGAACGAAGATTTGTACAAACACAACCAACTCTTTCTGTTATTCTCAAAGGCCTCTCTAACTCTGCTAACGAAGAAGAAATTACTAATATTATTTATAACATTCACGGACTAGTACCCACTCGTGTTAGAATTGTGAGAGACAAAGAAACAGGCCAAAGTAGAGGTTTTGGATTTGTTGATTTTTCGACGGTGGAAGAAAGTCAAATGCTGATGGATTCAACTGCTGGAGGAATGTTTATAGGAAATGATTATGTTGAATTGGAATATAGTCATAAAGCTGCTCCAATTGCCAAGCCATCTGAGAACGTACAAGAGGAATCTTACAAGGAGCAAATATATCAAGACTGGATTTGTGGTCACGTAAGTAGTATTATTCTTTAACATTTGATATTGATCATTTTAATAGTGCAACACACAGAATTTTATGCACAGAGATTCTTGTTTTGGATGCTCTCATCCACGAGATGAAACAGCACAAGAAGTTATTACTAAACAATCTGAAAACATATCTCAAAATGACGGATTACCTCCAACAGTTGAATTGATTGTAAGAGGTCTTAATATCCTTACGACTGAAACAACGGTATGATTGAAATAATTCATTTGTAAATCTTACCATATTTTAGTTATTGAATGTGTTTGGTCAGTTTGCTCCAGTGAAAGCCTGTAGAGTTATAAAAGACAAGGTAACTCAGATTTCCAGGCAATTTGGTTTTGTAGAATTTTACTCTGTAGAAGATGCAACTCGAGTTCTTTCAATGTGCTCAGAGTTGTTTATTGATGGTGTACGCGTGAATGTAGCCTATGCTAAACGACAACATGTACCAGAGACAGAAGTTCCTGCCACTGAAGATGTCAATGTGGCTCAGTGGAATGCTCTTTATAATTATACTGGGACTGACGAGAAGTTAGAAGAAAAACAAAAGAAGATTGAAACAAAGGATGAAATATCGAACAAATCTCTGTCACAATGTGGCTTTGTTTTTGATGAAGAAACAGGATATTATTACAACAGTCAATTGAATTACTACTATGACACAAAAACTGGATATTACTACGATTGTGCAGCTGGCGTTTGGATGTATTATGATGAGGAAAAGAAAACATATATTCCCTTTCCTCAGGAGGAATCGGCTACTGACACAACGACATCCGAGACGACTCAATCAGTCATTGATGGAAATACAGTGATTGGACCCTTACTTCCGCAAACTTCTGAAGAAAAAGAAGAAATTGTAGAAGTGATTAGTTCTGGAGGGTTTGTACCAAACCCTAAATTCAACGAACAGCTTAAAATACTGGAAAAAGAAATTGAGCTCGCTCAACTGCAAGCAGAACCTTCAACCTCATCTTCCACAAAGCAAGGGATTAAGCGTAAAAGAGATGTTAAACCAAAAGAAAGCATTGAGGAAGTGGAAAAGAAGGAAATTGATGACGAAAATGTTGGTAAGAAGCTTTTAGAGAAACTTGGCTGGACAAAAGGAGAAGGCCTTGGAAGAAACAAATCTGGTATTACGGCTCCTATTAGTGTCAAGCCCGTTGAAAAACATTCTGGACTTGGTTTTGCTAAATCGAGCACTGCTCCGTCCACCAAGAAGCGAAAAGAGAGCTATCAAAAAGAAGGTATGAAAGTTCTCCAAAAGCGATTCAATGAGATTGAGGAAGAAAAACGAGAATAAATATCACCAATGTTGAAATTAATTAAGTTTTATAGGGATTTATTGCTTCAATGGAGCATTCTTGGCAGCAAGCTTCTTCACAACTTCACTTCCACTCTTTTGAACCAAAGCGTTTAATTTCTCTCTCAAGAGGGCGTTCTTCTTCTTCTTCAAGATTTGGACTTTGACTCTATCGAAATCGTTCAAGCTTTTTCTCTTTTGTTGTTTCAATGCCTTCTTAACACCTGATGTGTTCAACAAAGCATTTTGCATATCGGAGGATGAAAGAGCCTTGGCAACTTCCTCTGTGGTTGACTTGTTGGTGATCTTGGCAACAGCATCTACCAATTGGATATCACCAGTAGAAACAACTTGTCTTGGAATATCTTGACCTTGAACCAAAACTCTGTTGGCATCAAGAACATCGACAATAACGAGCAACTTTCCTTGGTTGGCACCGTAAAGTGGTGTGCAAGCTCTACCGATTTGGACCAAGAGTTTATCGAAAAGATGTGATGGCATTCTGTTAAATGAATGATTATTTTGACATGGAAGGTTCAAAATAAGAAAGACTATATTATCAAGTTGAAAAATGTGATAACCAACCTATAGGAAAAGAGAGTGATTTTGGCGTATTTTTTTTCAAACGAATTTTTTGATAATTTTTGGTCAACCCTCATTTGAACTTTACAATGCAGTCCAAAAAATTTTCAGCGTGTCCTCTGTTCTGGAATTCATCAATTTTTAAAAATGATCGCAACAGCGTCGTCCGAAGCATCATCAGCAAACGAAGGTGGATCATCATCATCATTGGAAATTAATTTAGACGCCTACGAAGAGTATCGGATTCAATCTTACGATATCAATGGAAATGAAACTCGTGTTCCAAACTTGGGAGCAGAAGAAAACTTTGCTCGGATCATTCATAGCAAATTTGATTTTCTGCCTACTCTCAAACAGCGACAATTAGAGTCTATTCGTGTAGATGATACTCAAACATTGCCTCCTCCACAGATAAGGGCTATACAAGATATGGAATGGGAAAAAACTGTGTACAAACTTAGAGGAGCAATACATGAAATACAATATATTACCGATATTTCTAGGATGATGAAGGAAGCTTCCGAAGAACAAGATAAAAATGAATCTAGAGCCCAATTAATTGAAACTGTGCACGCTCACAGATCTTTTAATGAAGATTTGAAAACGAGCGAAAAGGCTGGAGAGTTATTTCCAAGTAGAATCGAACAACTTGTAAATACTCATGGTATTTTGAAAACTGGGAAAGATCAACTAAGCAAGAGAGTGACACAAACAGCATCTTTTTATCAACAGCTTTTCCAATTACAAAAAAAGTGGAAATTGAAGAGCTTTGACACTCAAAGCACTAATACCATTATTTTAGACCTTGCTTTTAATTTTCCAGCCATAAAACTGTATGAATACATTCCTGTAAAGATTATTAGAAAGAAGAACACAAATCAGATTGATGCCATCATTCCTGCAATTGCTACCTACGGTAAAAGAGTCTTGCTGTCATCTGTTATTTTAAAACATTACCCTGAAACCCTAAAGACTATTGACCATGTTCTTGACAGAGCACAGCAATCTATATTCTATTTAGAATTATTTGATATGGTAAGTGTTCACTCAGATACTGCTCTTTCTAAATGTTTGGTAATTTTAAAGCTTGTAAATTGTGTGACGTCAAAAACGAAAGCTGAGTTTCCTGTCATGGAGCTCACAGAGCTAGAGATTAAGATACAAATTTCAGGAAATTCAGTGTTAGTTGTTTCTTTAGTAGAATCTCAGACATCGGTACGTCTTATTTATCGAATTTGAAACTATTGTCTTTAACACTTTAAAAGCCTTTCTGGGAAATTCAGACAAGGATGGTAAATGTTTCACCATCTGCTTCACAATATGTGTCACATGAAGTTGTTGATACCCTTCTTCAAGACGCCCTTATTCAAATTCATGATCTTGTCAGAAACAATTCTCTAACCTTGGAGTAAGTATTTCATGAGACGAGATTGAATTTTACACACGTTCAGAAAATCGACGATTATTTTTGAAAATGTGTTTAAGTACTTGAGGCATAAATTACTTTGTGCTCGAATCGAAACATGTCTTAGAGAGGATATTGACTCTTTCTCGATTTCTCCAGAATTGAATCTAATTCTCTTCAAGTATCCTGAAACATCAATCTATGATATTCGTATGCAAAACAACATCTTCAAGATTCATCTCAAGCAAAACCATATTTATTTGCAATCCAAACGTTTCAATTCGGTGAAAGAATTGATATGCTATTTGGATTTAATTCAGTAGGGTTTGTGGAATAATTTACAATACAATTAAAGTCACTATCGTAAATTTGTTTTTCGACAGTGGAAGGCGGTGTTTATTGCTTCGGTTCACTAATTGTTCTTTTGGCTGAGAAAAGAGTTGTTCACCAAAGTTTTACAGTCAAAAATAAATACTCTCATTAATTGAGTAAAGAAATTGGTTTCGTTTGGATTCTCAACATATTCATCAACATCTTCTAATGTTTGGAAATCTGTTAGTTTGAGGTTTGGATAGGTTTGTTTGATAATTAAATAAACTTGATCTTCTGATGGATAGCTACCATGTTTCATGTCAATTTCTTCTCCAATTTGGCTGATTATTGTGGAAATATTTGTCAGTAACTGCCTGTTTGGATTAACTTTTTTAAGGTTTCTTTCGATCCAATCCGTTAATTGATCAAAAACAGAGCTATGTCTTATGAATTGATAAATCATTTGTTCATGATGCTTTCTTGTTGGTAAAAACGCTTCACCTTTTAAAATTCCCAAGTTGAAAAGCTTCAATACCTTCTCTAAAACTAGTGAAGCTTTTTCCAAGTCCTTACTGCATTCATCTTTAGCAACAATATCACAAATCTTTGTAAGAGCGTTCCACAAAGTGTCCCAATCAACTGCAAAACGAACTCTATACTTTCTGCTTTGGCAAATCAAGAGATGAATGGCAGAAAGAGCCCTTATCGTTAAATCTACTGGAAAATGCTTTCTCTGTAAATGGTGAAAAACAAAGTCAATTAATAGCTCCATTAATACTTTTGCAACTGTTCCAAATCCATGATATTGATTCTTAACAAAAACTCCATTCTCCTTTTTGAATAGAAAAAAATCTAGCTTGGTGTTAATATCAAAAATATACTTTTTGAAAACCTTTTTCTCAATCAAGCATAAAATGATCAGAAGGCAAAAGTGAGTATAATACTGGCTCGTAATGTCTTCAGAGGATTTAGAGTTAGAGCCAACTGCAACATATTTGGTGGTGTAGAATGGTTCTTGAAAAAGTACTGAACAAAATTTGAGGAATTCTTGAAAGATGAGAGGGCACGATTTCACAACTTTGGTTTTTTGCATTTGATCCAGTTGGTCCTTAATATTTTTGGAAAGCACGTCTTGAGTGTCATCGGTCATTTGAGCAAGAGATCTGGTCATAGATCCAACAAAGTCGTTATTATGGTTTGCAAGCTCGTAAAAGAGTAACAATGATCCAGATGTTTCATTCACACTTCGAGCTTTCTTTGTAGTATCGTTTGATGAGGATCCAAATATAGAGGACCATACATATGACACCAAGCTTTGTTGCTGGATAGTCTGTTCAAATGCTTCGTTCCAAACAAAGAGAGCGCTTGTAATCATGTCTGCTAGCGCAATCATTGAAGAAGGCTTCTGAATCGAAGCAATGTGACTGATATATTTGTTGTCAGAAATTTCATACTTTCTATAGTTGCAGAGAAGAGAGAGGCAAATGATGGCATTCTTTTTCATCTTTAGAGAAAATGTGATATCTTCAATCACATTCAATAGAGGATCAAACACATCAACCAATGTAAAGTAATCAATGATTGCATTTTGATTGGCATTATCTGCTCCTGTCAATAAAATTATAAAAAGAGCAAGGACCATTTGTTTCACCTTTTTAACATCCTTTGACAATAATTGACAGCTTCTTGTTAAAAGAATTTTGAAAAACTCGTCTGCGTTTTGAAACCCACAAACTAAACTCATGACTCGAACGCTAAAGTTATTCCATCTTTTTGAAAATAATGCTTTAAATATAATACACAAGGTATGTATTGCATTAGCTCTACGGATTGGAGAATCATCATTCATATAGAATAAACATTTCAAACAGAGGGGATTTAAAATGGTTTGCTCCATTTGTATCAATTCTTCCTCAGTCTGCAACACAATACTATTCTCTAAAAATCCGCTATTGATTTTTAATAAAAACAATTCATCCCAAAACACATCCTCTCGTTCAAAAGGCTTGTTTGTATCATCTTTGTAATTAAATATCGTTTCTATTAGAACCACATATTTTTCTCGGAATGTCGTTGATGTAGTTATACTCGATCCCAAACTGTTCCGAGGTGCCGATGACGAGGAAATAAATTGATTTTTTGTGGTGGTGGTAGTGGGAACTGACGATAGAGTATGATTGTTGGTTGCGCTCATTTTTTTTGTAACGAATTAGGAAGCAACGATTCGATCGGACGCACGTGTATGAGGCAAATGAAAAACTCTCAATCCTATGGATTCCCTGACGATTGATTGATAACAAGAAAAGATCTTTTCAGATACTTTTTTGCAAAGTCGTAGGCGATGGGTAGGAAAGATGCAATCAAATTTTTGTGAAATTGTGAAATACCCTTTATTGTTTTTGTTGTCTTCGTTTGTTGTCTTCTTCATGAATGAATCGTTTTGCTTTGGACAACATTCCCTTCATATCTTCTAAACACTTTTCGACATAGGTCTCAATTTGCATGCCTGAAATTTCTCCTTTTCTTGCTTTTTGAATGTTTGAACAGAGTTCCTTTAAAACATTGACATAGGCAGGAAAGATGTAGTCGTTCGGGAATTTCTCTAAATATGAATTCATGTTACTGAGACATTTTTCTATATTCTCGTCACTGGCTATGGAAAAGAAATGAATGAAAGGAGCTAAGGTGTGTTGATTGACAGCAAAGGTTAGATTTGATAACACTGTGGCTGTATGTAAATAGTGAATCGCTTTTTCATAGTTGTGAAGGTTTGTCAGATATGAGCTAATGACCAGGTTATACATTCCAATAATTGGTTTTCCAAAATTTTGGTAGTCTTTCAACATTTTCTCCGCGTTATCAATGTCGCCAATTTGTATATAAGCTCTCATAATGGAAAATGCTGGATATGCAGATAATTTGTAATCAAAATCAGTGAATAAAATTTTGAGAAGCTTTTCTACGGCAGAAATGTGTCCGTTGAATGATAAGGCAACAACTGCATCGTCGTACATATCTTTCGCTACGCTACAACCATAAGCAAACATATTTTTGAGGTAGTAAACAATCTGATCAACTTGTGCATCAATGCAATATCTTCTGATAATAATTAGAAATGTAATTCTATCAGGATTGATGGTATATTCTGAGGGAGGATATAACTGATTCATGGCAGTATTGTATGACTTTTGCAGAGGAGATTCCTTGTCAAGTATTGACTTCATAAGTCTATCAGCATCTTTGAGGTTGGATCTAGATACTAGCATGTTTAGAAGAGGATTGATGATTGTCACAAACTGTTTCGCTTGTTTAACGAGTGGAGAAATCTTCACTTTGTTTTGTGACAAATAAATGAGCTCAGTTAAAGCAACCTCCACCAATTTGAATGCCTGATTTACCATGTTTTGTCTTATATATGTCTTAATCAAAATGTTGAATATTTGGAGAGATGAATGAATGTGTGGTTTTAGCAGCGTTAATGGATTAGAGGTGTTGAAATGGGACTCGCCATTGAATGTAAAAGCTTTTGAGTGAATGCATAGGCTGAATAATTCTTCAACTTTTTCAATTTCTCCAACAGTAGCATAACTTTGAATAGCGTATCCAAAAACTTTGGAAATGTTTTCCCATTGCTTCTCACTTTTGATAGAGCTTTCAATCTTGAGCAGATGTTCTAAAAAGTTTTCAAAAACTGGAATGGCGTCTGTATGCATGCCTTTTGTGTAGAATAGTTCAATAGTCAACAGATAACGAAGTACAGTCATTTTCAAATTATGTTCAGTAACAAATGCAGAGAATCCCTGTAAATCCTCATTAATTCTATAGTAGGTCAAAACTGCGTCTTCCACCATAGTTCTATTGATTCCCAATCGTTTATAGCGATTATCTTCAAGCAAGTAGAGGGCAATATCTTTGGAAATATTTCTCATCATTTTTGTGGGCAGAAATAATGCTTGATACATTAATTCTGGTTTCAGCACATTCTTTGGATCATCATTATTTTCAAACTGCTCTTTTATAAATGGAAGAAGCTCCTCGCTTAAAGTCTTGCACAATAATGCGAATTGCTTTTCTTCTGGCATATTGTCAAATGAGTCCGAGTTTAAAAGTCTTTGATTTCTTCTGTTCATGAAAAAAAGGAACGTATCCTTGAGCTTTCGGTCGGTTGTGTATGCATAATTCTTGCTAGAAATAATATTTGTCAAGAAAGGAACAACAAGTGGGTCATCACTAAAGGAATCATAAATTTGTCTCACACGTTCACTCTTTTGTTGCATAATTTTCGTTTTTTTAATTTCCACTAAAAATCCACCTTTCGTATCTTCGTCTTTTGTTTTTACTGGGACGCTTGTCGAATAATTCTTTTTCGATACATCATTTAAAACCTTCATCCCGAAATCCAGATTTGACATTACCATCGAGGAATGTCTCTTTTGAATATTTCCATCAGATGATTGTCCTTTTCTAAAGATGTTACTTTTGATGATGGTCTGATGATGATTGAAATAATGACCGGAAAACCTCTCCGAACGAGAGGATGATGAGAACAAGGTACTCTCGAGGGATGAAGAAACCCTTCTTTTCATTTTTGTGCAACTTTTCAAATATTCAAAAATTCATTAAATAAACTCATCAAATGAACTTCTTACTGACGAACAATTGAAAAAGAAGAGATCATTGACAAAATGTTTAAAAGACAAGATCATGCTTGAAAGAGGAATTGAACATGGTTCATCAACAAGTTTGTGTTGGATAATTTAAACAGACTACAAGGCAAGCAATTCCAGGAATTAAGATTAATGAAACAAAAATGTTCAGGTTGTGGATTGTATGTGGTTTATGGAGGATAAATAAATTGCATGTTTTTTTAATAGTGAGGACCCTCAAATCCGTACTGACTACAAAATAGATTCTACAGAGTCATTGAACATACTAACACAGTAATAGACACTCCAATTAGATCCATAACGACGGAAGCCATCGGTCCCGAAGAAATAGCTGCATCAAATTTAAGTACAAAATGCACAAATAATGGAATAGCTGCACAAATCAAAACACTAATGATCACAATTAGTATCACACTCAAGGTAAGCGCAAATAGTTCTTTCAAAAAAGTGACATGATAGAATACTGCAATAATCGGTGACATGCCTTGCATTTCTTCGGTGGACATGTTAAATACTCTATAAAAATACACTCTAATAAACGCAACAACTCCCACAAACAAACTCAACAAAATTCCTACCCTAAATTCACGCCATATGACAGACAAAATATTGGATTTTTTGATTTCTCCAGTTGTAATGCGACGAACTATTTCAATGGTTGATTGTGATCCAGAATTACCTCCTGTACCAATGAGCATTGTGAGAAATAATGAAATTATAATGTGTTTTTGTAGTAATGCCTCAAAAGACGCCAAAATGAAACTAGAAAATGACTGTAAAATCAACAACAAAATCAGCCAAATGCCTCTCTTATATACAATTTTAAAAATTGATTGCTCAAAATAGTTTTCTTCCAACGACTCTCCATTGCTATTACCCGTTGTACTTCTTTCCGATGATGAAAGATTGTTTTTTTCAATTAATGGTTGATGACTCGATGCATAGGTCTCATCGTCTTCAAACACTTGAGACTCTAAATCCACTTCGCTCGGTGGTGGTGTCGATGATTGCAATTCTGCTCTAGTTGTATAATTCTCTTGTCGATGATTATCCTGACCTGTTATTGATGTGGTGGTCTCTTTTAATTCAACCGCCGATGTTGGGTGGTTGGGCTGTGATAATGACGTGGGTGATGGTTCTCTGGAGTGTTGCTGCGGCACTGTCATTTTTTTTTATTTTAGCTCTTTTTTACAGTAAATTCCACCAACAAAATGACGATAATCGTTTTAATACGACTTGCCCAAAAATGTGAAAGGCTCTCAGTGAAATTCCGAACAATTGAAAGAAAATATTTCATCATGTTCTCTGACTACAATCATGTATTGATGGAATATAATTAGATGGCTAAGAATCTTTTCCCGACACCTCTAATCAACAGATAATTGTTTGGCTTTCAGAAAATAATATTATTATTCTAATGTGAATCTACGAATTTATGAACAACAGCTGATAATATTTGACAAGATGAATTGATGAAATTTACTTCGGCATTTATTCCTAAATTGTGAGCTCTCACAAGAAAGTAGTGTTTAAGTGCACTTAAACACCTCGACATTCCAGAAATTTTGTAATCACGCCAAACATCATTTTTTTTGGTAATAACTAGGCATGACTTTTCACGCCAAACATCGTTTTTGACGCCATCTTCAAAAAAAATTTCAACAACTTAAAGATGATATTTTCGCGACCCATTTTGCTGGTGCTCATCGTTTGGCTTATCACGTTGCTTTCTGCCTCTTGCTATGTGTATGGTCTCGTGGTTCCATGTCCTGACATGACCTTCATTCATGGGTCATGTACCTCACAAACCTCTCTTCAGGTCCAATCACAATTTGTGACTTCTTCCTCGAACTGAGAGTCTCAGCTCGTAGCAGCAATCACTGACTATCAGTCAATGACCTATGTGATTGCTAATGCATTCGACCAGTATGGTTCTTTCTCCTTTGGCAATGGATTGAGAAAAGGAATCATTACAAAGGTGAACAGTGCTGGAATCACATTGTGGAGCAGGCATTTGAACGATTACGGCAAAGAAGGATCAGTTTATTCAATCTCTCTCAACTCTAATGCTGCTCCTGTGATTGGTCGTTCTGTTTCATATACCTTTACAGACTATTTATCCCGATGTGTGATTGGAACACTTCTTTCATTATGGAATGCCAATGACCGCACTCCAAGAGAAATTTCATACGTCGCAACCTTGAATACGGATGGAACTCTTCAAAACGTGTATTCGTTTGATCAATTCACAGGAACCAAACTTGCAAAGAACTCGTTGGTCGTTGATGACAATGATCAAGTTGTGGTTGGACATTCTCTCGCCTTGGATTCTACACCCTCTGAGGAAAATCCAAAAATTTTGGTTGTTGATGGTAAAGTCATTCGTTTGACAAGAAAATTCAATTCCTTTGTGTCCAAGATTTCCAGTAACACCTTTTCTCCCAAATTGGTTTGGTCCACGGTAGTGTGTGAACACTCAGAGGGAAGTGGCCCATGTAGTATTCAATCGATTCATTCCTCTCGCTCCATCAATCATATGATTGTTGTTCTTTCAATCTCTGGAACAGTCACTATTGGTGGTGCCACTCAAGTCACATCAGAGGGTTCTAAACCTAATCTCTTTGTTCTTGTGTTGTCCATTACATGATCCATACGACTTTAACTTGTTCATGAGTTGCGAAGACTTGGGCCTTTTGGAGGAAGCGGAGGTACTCCTGTGGTAAGTTTTTCTTCTTTACTCTGTTTGGTATATTAGTTTATGGACATTAACAATGAATTGGATACATACATCAAAGACAATCACTATAAAAGTTAGATACATCACCTTTGGAGATTTCAGACAAGAGGTAGCATCTCTGGAATTTGGATTCTTCGATGGATCTTCTCCAATTTCACTTGGAATCTCCTCCGAACGATCACGTTCGATCCTGATGAGATTTTCCAACAATTCGTCACTGAAACATATAATCATGGTTTTTTCGGAACAATTAATTCACTTTGTTACATGAAAATTGTCACAAACAAACAAACTTTTGAATATGGACAGTCAAGAGATATCAACAGAAGGACTATTACCAACATTGCTTCCACAGGTGAGTTGATACGAACTTTTCAATTGAATTTACATTCATTTTGAATGTGTTTTCCATTTGAAAAATTTCACATTCTTGTGATGACGACATAAACGACAGAAAACGTGATTGGTGAGGCATGGTGATTTCATTGACGCTATTGGGTACATTACAGGAGATGTAAGAGACAGTCTCCCTTTAAATTGTGATTGCAACGCTGGTTATACTGGAGCCGCTTGTTCTATTCCTACTTGTTATGGAATTTCCAAGTTCGATTCCAATGCCTGTTCTGGGCTTGGACAATGTATAGGTCCAAATCAATGTTCTTGTTCCAATGTCTCTGTTTCAGATTTCCATAATTGTCAACCCTATGCATTTTGCCACAATCAATCTTCATTGAATGTTGCTGCAAATGTGTGCAGCGGAAAAGGAACTTGCCAAGCTGCAGAAAGCCTCCTTGTGCAAGATCAAAGCATTTGTGATCCTGGATATTTTGGAGATATGTGTCAATACACTAAATGCTATGGATTCATGAACAATGACACTTTGGCTGGCTCTGGAAATGGAAAATGTGTTGGACCTGACACTTGTCAATGTACTAATGATACCATTTACACTGGAAAACAGTGCTCCTTACCTGTTTGTTACGGATTTAACTCTTTAAGCAGTGATGTGTGCTCTTCACACGGCATCTGTGAGAAACCAAATTCATGTAAATGCTACGAAAATTTTAATGGAACTCGGTGTGAAAATTTCAATTGCTTTGGTATACCCAATAATTCCTCTTTGGTCTGCTCAGGAAAAGGAATCTGTGTCTCAAATGATACTTGCCAATGCATTAACGGATATTCAGGTGCAAATTGTAGCGACTGGAGATGCTTTGGAATTTCAAAGGATCAATCAGATCTTATCTGTTCAGGAAACGGAAATTGTTTGTCGTACGACAAATGTTCATGCAAAGCAAATGCTACAGGAGCAAATTGCAGCCTTTGTTCCGTACCACTCAGAAAACCTCCTTTCTGTGAGGTGTGTATTGATGGAAACTACGGAGCGGACTGTTCAAATACCATTCTTGGAAATTTGAATATGCTTGACAATGGAAACACTTTACAACTCAAAATGTCAAGTCTATTCATGTCACCTCAAAAATCTGGATCCAATACTTGTGATAGGATTTTGTCTAGCAATAGTTTGAAATTCTTTAGTACTATTCGGTGCAGTTTCACACGAGACTCGTCTTACACCTCTTTGACGATGATTAACTCCAGACTTTTTAATCACACAGGTTTCAATTACACCATTACCATAACAGGAGACTACAGTGCAACGTTTGTTCCAGGCACAGTCATGGAAATTAATGTCCTGTGGTTGTATAACAATCCAGTTCAATCACCCATTTATATCTCTATACCTATCAGTGATCAATTTTATGTTTACAAAGAACCATCACTTTCATTACTGATCACCAATCGTCTTTATCAGGTGTTGAGTAGATGTCACGATAACAGAGTGGAAATTTACCCCTTTCAATTTGACGGTAGAACAAACTATCAATTGATTTGGGAAGCGACCACCCCTGGGGTCTCTGACACTTTGAAGACAATCCTTCGAAACTCGCGTGATAAGACGGTGGTCATGATTCCTTATGGAATGACTGTGAATGGAAGGTTAAATCTCTCGATTACCTTTATTACTGCTTTTGGTAAAACTAAGGTCTTTAATTTCACACTGCTCGAAAGTATATATGACACCTTTGAAAGAGATGCTAATTTCAAGGTCACTCTTGACGTTCTTTCCAGGGATGCAATTGCCCTTTCGCTTTCCACTTCTCTCGAAATCCAAATTGTTTCAATAACATTCCCTATATGAATATTAGGTCCTCTGAACCTGCCATCTCAATTACTAACGCAGGTACTTCTCTCTCAGTTTCTGCATTATCTTTTTCTCGAAGTGTTTTAACTGGAAAAATTCAATTTGATTATTATTTATCAGCCTATTTTTCAAGCGAGCCCTTTACCATGGACATTACGATGAACATTCAAGAGCCTAGTGAATTTGAGCTCACAATATGATACCTTGCAAGGTAATCGAATGGTTTCCATCAAATGCTCCTATTCTCTCAACGAGGCAAGTTACTATAATGGAATTGTGACACAGGTGACCTTTGTGTCTCCGGATGCAATCAACTCCGAACAGACTTGTCAAATCATTTCAGCAGGTTTTAAAAATCAACTCTCAAAGATACCTTATTCGGATGATGAACAAACATACAGTTTAGAGATTGTAGTGTCTTCTCAAAATTGTAAATTGGCCTCCCTCAAAGTGGATTTTGAGATCAAACTTAGTTCATCCTCGACTAAAACTGTCAATCTTCAACTCGAATACATGACCGTGACCCCTTCAAGTTTTTCATGCCAAAACTCCAAAGTATATGCTGCTGTGGGTGAACAAGTGACGCTCTCTTGTACCGTTTCTACCCTATCCATAACGCCTGTTCCATTAACACCATCGTCTGGTACTTATGCTTTGTTTATTGGATCCTACCAAGTAACTCCAAGTTTCAATTCACTCCCAATCATATTTACAGCAATGAGAGACATGATTGGAGGAATTTCACAGCCTGTGTATTTGCAAACAACCTCTCCATTAGGAAGTGTGAGAATGCAATCTTTGATTAGTTTGGATATTACAGCTGATCCCATGAGTTGGAGTGTGCGCTACCAAGAGACTGAGAATAACATTTCCATCAACAAAAAGATTCCCTTGTGACTGCAAAAGAGTTTTTGAGACAGAATTTAATTACTTGCTCCTTGGTTCTTTATTCACCAGAATCTATCACATCAAAAGTCAAGAATTCTAATTTACCTGTTTTGGTTACGTCTTCATTGGAATTAATGTCTTCTCCGATGAAAGTCATTTTCGATAACATGTTCAATCAACCTGGAATTGTTTATGTTCAGAACTTGTATTATTACCTTCAACAAGTCTCCGTTTTGACTCAACGAAGAGAATTTATGTTTGCATCTGGTGTGAGAGCTACAAATGACCTTTTGACATCCTTGTTCTCCTTTATGCAAACTTCACCAAAATCATTGACAAATATTCTCACTTCAAAGATTGTCAAAACGTTGGGAACTATCATTAGAAATATCAGTTTCGACACTGAAATGGCACCAAAACTCACAAAAACATTCCTTCAATTGATATTGTCTCGTTCTGCCATTCGAAACATCTCCACAAATGAATTATGGCAAGGTAACTCTACTACTGATAGCAATAATCTATTTGCGTTGTTGTATGGTTCTGTGGTGAGTAGTGACGCATTGGATAAATTTGTGTTGCGTTCACAACGAACAAATGCTGAATTGGTGAGATTTAGCTCTGAAAATCTGAAATCTTTGGATCTCTTATTAAAAAAAAAGTCATCCAGTGTGAAGTGGTAGATCAGTCCATTTGGGGATCTGGCAACAGCTTGTGTACTTTCGAAGGAGTGTCACAAGTCTCATTGGAAGAGTTAGGAAATGTTTCAATTCCCAATTGTTCGTGTGATTTGTCCAAATTGAATGCTGCCATATCAACCAATGCCTTGAGTCTTTTGGACGGTATCATGTCAACCATGGCAATCGCTCAAGGCAACAGCAACAATGCTGGTGTTGGAGTTTATATTTATGACTCTAATTCAGTGGCTCTTGGAGTGGGCCTCACCTTTGGACTCTTTGTTCCATTGATATTGTGCGCAGTTGGAGTTGCGGCTGATTACAACACTAATTGTGTTTCATAAGAAAGGAAAATTGCCAACTTTTGGAATTCAAAAGAAAGAAACCACAGCTCAGAAAGAACAACATGTGGCAACTGCTCAAGTTGTACTGCCTCAGACAGAGCTTGAGGAAACAAAAGTGTAAATGGAGTTGGTGATTTATACAATTTGACAACTCTTATTTCTTCTTCTTGTTTTTCTTTGGTTTATGATAGTCTTCTTCATCGTCACTTATATCAGCATCACGTGCTCGTTTTTGAGCATCTTCTTCCATGGCTTCATTTTCCAATTCTTCCCATGTTGGAGCATCTTCCTCCTCTTCAGCACTAAAGTCGTCATCTTCGTCATCGTCAGAGTCAATATACATTTCTTCATCTTCTTCATCGTCTTCCTGCTCCTCTTCTCCAGAAGATGGTTCGTATTCATCTTCATGTTCACCCTCCTCCTCATCAGTTTCTGCTTCTTCTCCACTCATCATCAAGAATGAATTCCAACCAGCTTCACCGTATGGATCCCAATTAGGTTCCTCTCGAATGGTTTTAAGGATTGGACCCCACTTCAATGATTGGGCTCCTTCAAAGTATAGAACATTGCTGTCAGTGAGCCAATCTTTGATCGATTCCAACTTCTCAATAGGTATGGATGTAATAGTGTAATAGGTGGTGAGATCTTTCATAATAAATACGAGATCAAAGTTCTTTAAACCAAATTTGATTCTTTCAAAGTGAGCAATTTCAACTTCATCCATAGTTAACACAAAGAATGGACTTTCTGATAAGGAAACCAAGCAATTCACAGTTGGTACAAGGTTCACATTCGATCGACCAGTAGAAGGTACACCTGAGAATTCCAAATTACGGAATGGAATTTCAAATTCAATTCCTGATTTTTCTTCAACCTTTTTAACAAAACTTGCAAACTCCTTATTCAATTTGATCTTCAACAAGCGTTCTCTTTCTTCCTCTTCAATGGCCTCTCTTTCAGAAACAGCTTGTCGTCTGTGTCTACCAACCAGGTGATCAAATTCTTCAATAACTTCTGTGAAGAATTGAACATCTTGATAGGACTTTTTACCAATCATGACAGGATGCTTGAGATGGAAATGGATTAGAACAATGATATCATTCTTTGCTTCTTGGAAAAAGGCATGCTTAATGTTCGAATACATAATATCAATTTTAGCACCCTTATTACTTGAGAACCTCAAACCATTTTCATGAGCTTCAATCACACCTACTTGTTTTTTACCAGGTGGTCTCATGAAAATATCGGCAAGTCTTGGTGCTTTTTGTCCCTTACTCACTAATTTCAATTTGGGTTGTTCAACTTCCTTATTCTTTTCATTGAATTCTCGGTCTCGTTCTTCTTGGCCAATTTGCTTTCTCAACTCTAAAATTTCTCTCATGGCACTCTCCAATCTCTTCGAATCTTTAGCACGATAGGAGACTTCTTTGATAAACACGTGATCCTTAAATTTCTTGGCTGGTTCATAGACTTTTCCAAAGTTTTGTTTTGTGTTGTTAAAGTTAATTCTGAGATGAACATATTCCCCTTCATCGGTCTTGCTGACGTTCTTAATAGAAGCAATGTGGAATGGAACATGTGCGCCATTAATTGGCAACAAGACAGTGTGATTTCTCTTGTCAACCACAATTTGATTACTAGGTAAAGCAATATTCTTTGGTACAACGCCCTTGTAGCTGAAAAGGTCTCCATTAGCAAACTTTTCATCGATAGATTGCTTCTTCTTTCGTGCGCTTGTACTCGATGAACCTTCATTTCCAGCATATTCTTCTCTCTTCTTTTGAAGTAATGCTAATTGTCTCTTTCTTCTCTCTTCTTCTGTGATGACAGATGAGTCAGTGGCTTCATTGCTGCCTCTGACTAAACCACTGGCAATAGCTGCTCCACGCTTTTGACGTTGTCCAAACTTTTCGTCAATGTCCTCTGGTTCGACTTCTTCAACTTCATCTTCATCCTGAATAGAATATGAGACTTGGCTGTATTCAATTTTAACACGTGTTAAGATTTGGCATTCTTCATGGAATTCAACGTCCTTGACAGCATTCTTTTCATTCACATAATCATCAGTGGACACGACTATGGTATCAGCAATGTACATTGTGTATGGAGGATTATTAGGTTCTGGCACATTTTCTAAACCTAGTTGAAGGACAAACGTCATGTTATTAGTTATCTCTGTGTTATTGCCCTCAGCAATTTCCAATGTAGAAGAACAAGGTTGCAATCCAATGCCAAAACCAACTTTTGAGGAGAAGTAAGGAACCAATTCAGGTTTCTTCTTTCTCAAAAATTCTCTGGCAGAAATATAAATGCTGTCCAAAGTTGCACCAACTCTAATCTTCTTCTTGACAAGGAAATCATAAACAGAGTACAAAATTTCATAGTCCATTTCCTTTTCTCTACTTGCATCAATAAAATAAGTTCTTGCTACGAAAGAACAATATGATTTGTATCTCAATCCAAACATCAAAATAATATTGTCAAACTTGAGAATATGGTCATCAGATTTCACATTGCCGTCGTTAAAGTCAAGCTTGAGATTATATCCGCCTCCTGATTGAATAATTGGGTTGAAAGCCAAAGACAAGTCCATATCTCCAGCAGCTCTGGTCACTACGCCTTCGATCTTCTTAGCAAAGTCAATATGTGTAATTTCTTTTCCTTCATCGATAATACCTTCCATATCTGTGACAATTTTCTTAAACAGCTTAGAAGTATATTGGCATGATGGTTTGATGATTTGCACTTCTTCTGCTTCTTTGCTAGCAAGTAAATCCAGGAACGCAACTTTGATGTCGACTGTTTTATGTTTCTTCAATGTATCGGCATAATCTTTGTACAATGCTCCAGTATGCTTTTCTCCTTCAATCACACCAATCACAGTGTGTGCACCTAGTGAAAGAGAAGCAAAAAAGTCTGAGCTTGTTCGCTTCTTGTCTTTTTCCATAATTTTAATCTTGTCTGATGGATTAGGAAGGCCTTGCAAAATTTTGACTTTCTTTGGACTGTGATGATGCAATGAAAACATATTGAACAAATTAACATCATCATTTGTTAAAAACGAGTTAAATAACGTTATCGGATGAATTGCATCTTGATGAATTTGATGCACATACCTTGTGAAAAAGTGTACGGTTCTTGTCTTTGGTTCAAAGGATACAATTGTTTCGGTGAATTCATATCCAATCAACCACAACAATAATAATTTATGTAAAACATATTCACTCTTTTCATCTTCATTCACTCCGCCCATAAAAATTTGAAACACTGTGCTATTCTCATAGAGGGTATCCTTGTGTTTGTCGTAGTGATCAAACAACCGTGCAAGCCTTCTCTCGAAAGCAACCGCATCGATCTGAATATCGGACATGTGTATTTTTTTTCAATTTAAAAATTCCAAAAAATTTTGTTTGGCGGGTTTTTTTGAGATGCTTCACAAACCAGTTGAACCCTTTCAGTATTTAAGTGTTATCCACAGTATTTGAGATTATCTGCCTCTCTCCCAACTTGGCGCATTTGTGAAATTCAAATTTCAAGATCTTAAAATATGAAAAAGATAAAACAATGATTGTCGTGGAAGGTGACAGAAATTACACTTTTTCGAAAGCGTCTCTATTGCGTTCCATTATGCAAAATGCTTAACGATCGTTACTCTCGAATGTTCTGTAATTGGTGGTCCCATCGATGATGATCGCCTTGAAGTGTGACCAATTACCACGTTGGTTGTCGGACTTCGACAACTCTTTCCGCCAAAAGAAAAACCACTTAAAAAATGGCTTCAGAAGTCCCATCCATCTTCTCTCGTCCTTTGCATTTGTTGTTCTTCTTCTATTTCCTGAGTCACATTCCAATCACGATTTTCATTGATGCTCAAGTAAGTGTATTCCTATAATGAACTATGAGAGATTCTGATCGAATGATCTTTATCAAACATCTTGCAATGAAATCCGATTCATGACTTTTTTGAACTCACTTTATTAGCCAATTCTTTCTCCCTATCTTCCACAATTATATCCTCCTTTCCTTCAACAAATTTTGAAAGAACAATGGATTGAACCCTATCAAGGTATGTACTAGTCATTCACAAATTGATTGAAAATGACAGCATGAATTTTTAATCCTCTTTCACGTGATGATTGAAATCTGTTGAAAAATGAAATATTTGTTGTTGCATCATTGGGTAAATTTTATAGACCTGCTCATGGCAAAGCTTCCTGTTTGGTTTGCTTCCTTTGGTGTCTGTGAAATCTTTGTTCAACTTCCATTCTTCTTTATTGCTCTCTATGCTTTTGTTGCTGGAAAGAATTGGATCCGTATTCCTGCCATTATCTATTCAGCTCACGTGATGACCACTCTTGTTCCAATTATGGCTGTATTTTTGTTTGATAAGGAGTATCTCAATCACAATGCATTCTTATTGGGCACTTATTCTGTTTACTTTATCATTCCATTGTTGCTTTTATTGAATATGGTTTTCTATGAAAAACCATTCGATTATTCTAAGGTAAAGACCAAGAATAACTAGATAAAGCTAAGGACATGATTGTGACTATTGCATGATCCCTCTGATGTATGCCAATAGTCAATTAAAATTTTTAGAAATTGTCTTTCAATATTGAGGTGGGAAATCAATTTGTCACACTGATGATGATCAGTATTTCATTTGCATTCATTATAAAAATGTCGCAAGTCAAAAACCAAGACAATGATAGTCCTCATCGTCAGCAACAAGAAGAAGAACCACAACAGCACGACCAGTTAGAAACCAACGTCGACCCAAAGGAACACCCGAAGCTAGTTTCCGAAGAGAAATTTCTCCTCAAAATTCGTTTCTCTCACTCTGGAGAAACACATTCAGTCCTACTCGTGAGAGGATCTTCCACCACACTTCAACAACTGATTCGCCTCATTATCGATCAATGCATTATGAAACATGAAAGCCTTCGGAATGAATACTCTCGGAAGCCATGCATTAGGCTTATTCATAATGGACGTTTATTGACTGGAGCAACACATTCAAATGCTCTTCCTCATCATCATGTCAATTTCGAGTTATTGCCCATCTCTGTGTTTCATATTGAAAATCATTCGTTTATTCATTGTACATTCTCCGAAAAGCAGAACCATTCATCATCATCTGCAACGAATAATATTTCTCTTCAAACACCTGTAGGAGCCTTCTATCAAGGCTTTGATGTCTTATTGAATGCAGGATTAGTACGAGAAGAAGTAAATGAAGTGAGAAGACAATTCTATGCCTCACGTAGTCACCTGATCGACATGCATCGGAGAGGACAACTCTCTCAGAATGACCTGTATCACATTGAGCAGGAATGGATGAATGAATCAACAACAACAACAACACCTTCATCGTCATTTCCAAACACCACCACCACCACCACAACAGGAATGAGTTCAACAACAACACGATCACTCACTCCTCAACAACAAGAACAACAACAACAATTACAGGAACAGCAACGCAATGATCGTGTCGGAAATGTCTATACGTTCTTTTTGGGAGTGTTGCTTGGCTTTTTCTTTGGAATTATCACTGTTGTGGCATTGTTGGAACGAAAGGCATTGTCAAAGAGACTTGTTCTTGGAATTCAGGTTGGTGTTGCCACGAATATTGCTGTTTCAGTATTCAGATATTATTATCCAAGTTTGTTGCCATACTTGCTGTGATTGAGCGTTCGAAAATTTCACACATAAATGCTTTCTACATTTCGATATCGTATCAAAATTTAACTTATGAAAATCGAATTGAAATAGATGTCACTAAACAAATACCTTTCTTCAATGAGATTGAAACTGAATGTCGAAAAATATTAGCTTTCGAATTTCCTTCTGCAGCTTTGAGATACTATTCCAATGCTTCTGGGTAATTGAATTCGTTGTGGTTGATGTCACCGCGTTGGAGTTGAGCTTGGACATGGCCTTTGTAAACCAATTTTTGGCAGTTGTAATGTTTTTTCCACACCATAGCCATTGAAATGTAATATTATTATCAGCTACAGATAACACTTGAACATGAGGCAATGAAGTAAGTAAGCATGACTTAATGACCAACAGGTCGCCATGACAATTGACCAAATAGAGGCTGGTCAATCTTGTGAAAAGTACATGTTTCAAGTAATGGACTTCATGAAACTCTTTGTTTGACTTGATTGAATTACAATTTTACTCTTTCACTTGAAATGACCTTTCTTGTTGTCTGTTAAGAGATCACCGTAAAGAGTCTCAATTGAAAACGCTTTATCATCGTCACTGCTTTGGCTTCTTTCTTCCTTTTCTTCCAATAAACTTTTCTCATGATGGTTACTGTCATCACTGTTGCTGTCGCTGTTGTAAGACAACATTTTTTTCAACGTTATTGACTCTTTAATGTTAGACAAACAATGAGACTGCAAGATTTCCTTCCTATTGAAGAAGGAGGGGTGTTTATTGGAAATATCAAAAGAATCTAGCGTAAATAATTAGATAATTAATAGGTGAAAAGAAAAATTTAGACATTGTGTACATCTTCTTGTTCTTCGTCCTTATCGGTAGTATTATATAACAACAATTTTTCAATGAGTTCTACATGAGTGAGTAACATTCTTCTGCAACAATATCTCTTCAATCCTAAAGTATTTAAAGCATCGCTGTTTAAAATTATCGTCATTATCATCATACCAAATATTATTCCGATCATAAAATTGGATAAACAAAATTAAATTCAATAATTCATCCTCTTCTTTAGCACACTCCTCTCCCAATTATTATCGAGCCAATATACTTACTTCTCAGGATACTCCGAGTTCAAAAGTTGGAGGTACTTGTCCCACTTGTTTCCGATAACTTTTCCACAAGTAAAGCAACGAACAGGTATGATCATTTTTTTTGAAGATGAAATTGGTGAATTTGTTAATGCGTTATTTGAAGAATATCCATCATTCGCACATTGGCTTGATGAGCACGAAGGTTCAAAGAGGATGATCTTTTGAAACGCATACCTAGATACTTTCTTTTGAAAGTCAGAAGCCTCTCTTTGAAGAGACTAATGGGATCATCTCAGATTTAAAAAATGCAAAGGCTTGAATTGACGAAAAAACTTTTCGCACGATCGTCATCCTCTTATTTGTGGATGATGTTGTTGTTTGTCGTGGTGGTGATGATGATGTCGGTAACTGTTGTTCAGCCGATAGAAGCTGCTGAAAGAGGGTGGTTTCAAGGTGCTTCCTATGTGGTTCCTCCAATTCCTCTACAGCAAGCTCCATATGCGGAATGGGCTCATCATCACTGGGTGTGGTAAGTGGTTTGTTGTTGTTGGCTATACATGATGATGGTCCATACTGAAATATTTCCTTTTTTAATGGTATCATGATTATGCCATCTTGGATGGCCTCATTGTCTTGTGTTTCTCTAGGATTGATCATACAAGAGAGAACCAACAAGTACTCCTTAATTTAGTGAATCGATATTTAGCATTGGATATTCCAGTGGGTGCTATTGATGTTGATTCCGAATGGAGTACAGGAATTAATAATTTTGTGGTCGACAAGTAAGTGATTAGAATGTGATGATGCTTTTGGTCCAATTCCAACATTGTTTCACCCAAAGAACTAAATTCCCAAACTTTTATCAATTTGTGAAACAACTGCACTCGATGAATGTAAAAGTCATTTGTTGGGCTACTTCTGTGGTGGATACAGACTCTCCAAATTATAATGATGGAAAACAAAAAGGTACAGTTAATTTGTTCATTGGATTTTTGGAATGGACTGAAAAACAACTGAAATGATATTGTAACTTTCAATATATCAGGGTTCTATTTGAATGATGGAGCAACAGTGAAATGGTGGCATGGAAGAGGAAGTTTTATCGATTACTCAAACCCAGATGCTGTGAATTGGTGGCACAAACAATTGGATAATGTGTTAATTTTGAATCAAACGGATCCAAAGGAAGGAATTGATGGATGGGTAGGTAACATGATTCATTTCAGTTCTTGCTTAATCTTGCTTAATTATTCTTTGTATATTCAAAAAAGAAATGTGATGGAACTGACCCATATGTCTATGAATTTATTTACATTTATGGTAAAAAAGGTCACATCTCAGAACGCGAATATGCTGACATGTATTATAGAGACTTTTTCTATTACACCAAACAAGTAAGAGGAGATGGTCTCATCATGGCTCGACCAGTAGATTCATATTTTGGAAAAATATTTCTGGACTTTGCCCCAAGGGATGTTGTTTTTAGTGGTTGGGTGGGAGATCAAGATCCAACATTCCAAGGTATGCAAGATGCTCTATTAAATATGTTCCACTCTGCATGGAATAAGTACGTCGGATTTGGAAGTGACATTGGTGGATATAGAGGCCCTCAGAAACGAGAGCTGGCTTTGTTTATTAGATGGTTCCAAATGGGAGCATTTAATAGTTTGATGGAAAATGGTGGAGATGGCCCTCATGAACGTATGTATTAAGGTTAAGATTTATGAAAAAGTTGAAATATTATTCATTTTTTTGAATGTACAACAGCTTGGAACTATGATGACGCTACAATCAATGTGACAAGTATTTACAGAAAATTTGTTCATATTCACTATGAACTTAATCCATTTCTTTACTCAACAGGTATAGCTGCCTACAACAACCATCAAAGCATTATGAACCCACTAGCGTAAGTGTTTCATGAACAATTAAGGGATCATTTACAACATTCATCTCCAGATCATGGACACTATTCACACCAGATACATGGACATACACATTGGGAAAGGATATTCTTGTGACACCAATGTTGAGCTCATCGCCATATGTTGTGGTTACATTCCCAACTGGCAAATGGATTGATTATTTCAATCACAACGTTGTATTTGACGCAAGTGGAGCAGAAGTATTCAATTACTCAACCTTTGAACAATTCCCAGTTTTCTACAGAGCAGGAAGTATCATTCCTCTTAACATCACTACAGATTATGCCAACACCTTTGGAACATCTAAAACCCATGGTGGATACCTTACACTTGCTATTCACTATCCTTCTGAAAATATGGAAGAGGAGCAAACCATTTACTCTCATGGAATTCATGTGAAGTATCAAAGAGATGATTCCTCTAGTGGAATGACTATTTCAATTACAGCTCCAAATAGTTTTAGAAGCGATTACAAGAATATGAAAATCATGTTAGACATCAGGGGATTACGATCAAGTAGTAAGAATGGTTTTAAGATTTCACAATTTTCGTTCTACGAACAAAAATATATTGATTTACCAAGATTTGACTCTGTTCAAGATTTTTCAAAGGCACACAAAGATGACGTTTTTGGAGGCTTCCTACAAAGTCCTGTGAGCACTTTTGAAAATATTGACAAAATTCACAATCAAAAGAGCACTATTGAACATGAACCTCTCTTAATTAAGATTCATGATGTTCTGAGAGGAGTTAAATTGATAATTCAATAACATTATTTCAAGAATATTATTGGAATTATTAGTCAAGGTATTTATTCATTTATTTGAGGATTGGTCTTGCATTGTATTCACTAATCAATCTTTCTATTCGTTTCAAATGTCCCACCTTTTTCACACCAATTTTTTCTCTAAGGTCATTCGATGTGAAATCTTTGATTTGTTCCATCCTTATTAATTTCATTTTTGAAAAAGTTTTCACATATTCTGACAATTCATTTTGATTCAAAATATCTTCAATCCGTGTGTTCACACCACAACCTCCTTCTTGTGAACTTAATTCAATGAGTTTGGCAATGATAAACGTTTTGAACTCTTCCGTCTTTTTAAAATGTGGCATAATTTCATTATTGAATTGTAACATAACCACGGTAGTAAGAGTGTTCAAACAGTTTTGAATTCGATCTCTTAGATCCTTCATGTCAACGCTGGCGTAAGGATATTGGAGTGGAGATTGCCATTCCATGGACGATTCATGATCTGAAAAATCTCCAACACTCGCTCGAAAAGTTCTTGAAATCACTGAAGAAGGTGAAGCAGGTGAAGTGAAGGACTTTGATGAAGAATTGGAGGCAGAACTCGTTATTGATAATCTCGGTCGTCTTGTATTATTGAGTCGATGAATATCGTTCATCACCTTTTGAATTTGTTCCCTTATTTGGGATGGTACGTTCATGCAATGTTCACTGTCCCAGTTTAAAAACTTGTTGAAAATGGCGTTCATTTCATCAAAGAGTAACCAATCGTTAGGTTTTAATGAAGAAGAAGAAGAAGATGGAGAAGAGGATAAAACATTGTTGGTATCGATCACAATGAAGGAATCGAACTCGTCGTCGAAATCAATGGATCGATCACGAGAGCAACTTTGTCTGTTCCGAATCATGATGTTGTTTTGTCGTTCTCTAAAATCTCTCCTCATTTCAAGAAAGGACAAGTATTCTTCATTCTTGCGTTGTCGAAGATAATCTCGAAGAATGTCAAGTGCCTCTGGATCTTGAAGTTCAATCAAAGATTCAATAGAATAGTATTGCTGAATTTTCTCTCGAATTGTTGAGGGCGTGCTGGAATGATCGCAGCAATCATCATTCACTTCATGATGAAACGAGTGAAGAAGTTGAAGGGAGACTTTGTTGGTTGCAATATGATCAAAACTGTTGTTTTTGGTGCGAAGAAATGAGTTGTTTTTTCCATTATTCGAAGAATTTTCCTTATTGCGAGCACTCTCTGTCTTTGTTTTAGAGAAACGTCGAAGAAAGATCATGTTCTTTTTTTAATGAAACCAAGCATGTGGCATCAAATCCATTGCACAAAATTGTTGTGGCAGTTTCATTCAAAAAACTTAAAAGTCAAACACTCACTTGTGATCACAAACATGTCAACCCTCAAAGAACACATCTGGATTTTGAACATCTAGAGATGGCTAAAAACAATGAAAAATGCGATAGGTTCAATATCGCGGTTTGAATTGGGCCTTACTATTTTTCTTCTGTTTCTAAAAATGTAATTTGACAAGTAGACAGTATTTTACATTTTGGGATCTGACACAATCATTCATTCTTTCTCCATATCTATCACCAGTTTTCCTACAGCTCTTTTTGATTCAAGAACAACATGTGCTTCCTTAATTTCATCAAACGAGTAAACAGTGAGGGGAAGATTTTCGACCATTATTGTCTGTTCCATATTCTTTGCATCACATGAAGCAATAGCTACTTGTTCAAGTAATAATTTGAAATATCTTTCATTAGTCGCTTCAAAGGAAGCCAACTGGAACACTGGATAAGAATAGGAAAGCCAAGATTTCATTTTCGTGCTCAACATCAAATAAGCCATTTTGAGGAGATTTGTGAAATTCAATGAGTCAATGCCGGGTGGATTCACAGTAGTGAAGAATGTTCGTTTCACGGATCCATTTGAAGTTACTACATTTGAATTCGACAAGTGACTACACACATCATCATAGTAATAATATCCACCATAACAATCCAAAACAAAGTCCACAAACTCCACCCCATGTTCCTTACGAAGCAGTTGACACACACTTGGCAATCTCGAATTTTCATCATCATTAACTTCTCCCTCGTCATGAATCGTCTGAGGTCCATGACGGGCACTTGTTTTCATGTAATCAATCACCACATTTGCTCCCAACTCTGAGACCACTCGTTCATTCTTTCCCGAACACACAGCAATGAGCTTATTGACTCGGAAGAATCGAGAGAGAAAGTTCTTGACAAACATGAGACTCATGCATCCAATTCCACCACTCGCTCCAATAATCATGATATTCAATTTGGGTTTATGTTGATCATCATCCTCTCGTTCTTGTTCTTCATTGGGTTTATGTTGATAATCATCATCATTGAACTGATTCCGATCATCATTCAGCAATTTCTGAGACTCTCTCTCAATGATTGGAGCCATCTCGGGATGTGTTCGAAAAGCCTCAATCATGGTCAAACCTGCTGTTGGGAAAGCACTTGCCTGTACATGAGAGAGTTCCTTTGGTTTCAACGTGCATTCACTTTCCTCAAAGACAGCAAATTCTGCAAACGTTCCCGAACGATTGCCACTCTGACAACCGACGATGGAATCACCTGGTTTGAATTTTAGCACCTTGGAACCTGTAGCAACCACTTGCCCAGATCCATCTTTGCCCAATACAGCCGGAAAACGTAATGGAAAGAGCAGTTTGGCACATCCGTTTCGAGTTTTATAATCTGCTGGATTGAGAGAAAAGGCTTTCAGATGAACCAAGAGTTGAGTGTCTGAAAGGAGAGGTGGAACAGGGAAGTCTTGTTTCAGAATGAAATCGGGATGATCGCAATAATTCTCAACAAGGTGAGCTCTCATGGTCCTTGGATAGGAGTGGTGTGGTTCATCAGAAGAGGATGATGAGGATGATTCATTGGTTTTGTTGTGGATGAGGGTTGGATGAGAAGCCATTGGTGATCGATCGGTGAGAGAGAGAGAATTGAAACTGTTTCAATGTAATCACAAGGGTTGAATGGGAGTAAACTTGAGGTGAAACGAATAGTGTCGAGAATGGACAACTTTGAGAGAAAGTATTCTAAACTGAAATACTTAGGTTGAGAATTGGCAAAGCTCTTTCTTTGTTTAAATTTTTTTACATTTTCCAATCAATTAAATCTTAAAAAGGAAGGTTCATCAGGATTGCAAGAATAATGATGATTTGTTGAACTTTTGACACACGTGTCCATCTCATCAGAAATCTTTTGGAAACTCAAAAAGTCGAACAGTGACACCTTTCACATCAAACACTCGATCCTTTGGATTGGATTCGTCATTTCCTAATTCAAAAGTGTAAAATTGCAACATTCGAGACAAGATGGTACATTCCTCAATGAGCGCAAATTTAAATCCAATGCATTTTCTGTTTCCAGCAGAGAATGGAATCCATGAAAAATCGTGTTGAATTTTCACTTGTTCTTCAGCATTCATTGGAAAACGTTCTGGAATGAATGATTCAGCATGTTCCCAATTATGTTCACTTCGATTGGCACAATAAATACTCACGAGCACTCCATAATCCTTTGGAATGACAAAATCACCCACTGGAGTGGTCTTTTTAGCAACTCGAACGACCTGAGTCACTGGTGGATGCAGTCTCGTCGATTCCATAATGACAGCATTCACATAATTCAATTGAGGATAATCCTCATAGTTTGGAGCACGAGCATGGACACCCTTTCCCAAGAGTGCATCCACCTCTTCTTTGGCACGTTGTTGAATTTCAGGACGTTTTGCTAATTCATAACATGTCCATTGAAGTGCAGTCGAAGTGGTCTAAAGTTTTCACAATTCACAATTTCAAAATAAGAATGCACACGCCATGACATTAAAAGAATGAATTCCAGAAAGATTAGTGACAAGATGCGACAATCCACACTCACCTCATGTCCTGCCAATGAAAAGATAAAGGCATCTGATTTCAACTCTTCATCATTCAATAGTCCCTTTTCATTCACATTGGCTTCCACAAGAACACTCAACAAGTCTTTTCGTTCATCTGAAGAAGAATCTTAAGTTTCAGACTGCGATGTGGAATCTCCTCTTTGGATGATTTCATTTCTTCTTTCACGAATAATTTCATCCAACTTGTCACTCACCACTTGATGTGCTTGTGTCACACCCATCCATTGAGACAAGTATGGAAGAGTCCATGAAAGAAATGAATTGTTCAATAAGAATCTTCTCAAAATAATGCCCTTTGTGAACATGAGTTCGAGAGCTTTTCTGAAATTTCGACCATCTTTACTGACTTGGTCAAAGATGGAAAAGTCCAAACCTGTAAGCAAGGATGTTTGTTAATTAAATGGAATGTTGTGTGTGCACATGTGGTGAAAATACATTTATGAATTCGTCATCATCATTAACACAATTTTGAAAAAAGAACTCAAATTTTTTGAAAACTTACCAAATCCAGCCTTACCCAAAACATCCAATGTAATATCTGAGAAATCTGAATTGGTATCAATGATGATACTCTTCGTCTTGGATGCTTCAATTTCCTTTTCCCATTTCATATTTCGAATCAAATCGACACTATTGGCTGCCACTGTGGACATGTATTCCAAATTCTTGGAAGCAAATGCACCTGAAGCGACACGATGATGATTCTTCCATGCCTCACTATTGGCATCTAAAATAGAAAGAATATTCTGACCAAAGATATTGAAAGCGTCATAGGTCGCCGATGGTTTGATAAAGTTATTTCCTTTCACAATGAGTAACTCTTTCAACATGTGTTTGTCAGAAAGAATGATTGCATTTCGATTCATCAAGGAAACTCGAACAGTCTTTGTTTTAGGATCTCCCTTCTCACGTATTAATTTGTGAATGGTTTGATGAGATCCGAAATAGACATAATCGGAGAGAATTGGAATTTTGATTGTTGCCTGCTTGGTTCATCAAATTTATGAACAGGTGTTTGAATTTGCAAAACTTGGATGGACTGCTTTCCATTTGATGTCTCAATTCAATCAAGCAAGAGCAAGATATGGAATTCCTCCAAGTAGTCAGCCCTTTATTGAACCCGTGGACAAGTTGACCATCCATTTAACTCTTCAGGGAAACTTTGAATATTCCTATCCAGTTCCAAATACTCACAAATTTGTTGGATATAATTATATTGAAAAATCCATGAGTTCCAAACCCAAATTCAGCCAAATGACTCTCGACACAAGTCAAGATCCCTCAAAAAGTGAAGAAATCAAGTGGCTTGATGAACAAGCAAGCAACAATCAAACCGTGATCTATATTGCTTTCGGAACCAAAGTCAAGGTGTCCTCACATCATCTCCAAACCATCCTTCAATCCATCTTCTCACAACCTCAACGTCCAAGTGTTCTTTTGGCATCCTCCAACTTTAAGATGGATGAGATCCTGTCGGAATGGAGACACAAATTGTTCATCAAGCCATGGGTTGCCCAAGTGCATGTTCTTAGACATCTCTCTGTGGCCATGTTCATTACCCATGGAGGAAGTCATTCCATATTCGAATCGGTCCAATCTCAAGTTCCTCTTCTCATCATGCCCATCTTTGGAGATCAGCATTTGAATGCGATTCGTGCTGAAGACATTGGAATTGCTCGAATCATTCATACAGAAGATGAGTTGGAGCTCTCTGAGAATATTGCGTTCATACTTGAGCATTCCTCTCATATCAAAAGGAAAATGAGAAGAGTGAAAGAGATGAATCGAGATGTGGCAGCTCTTCCAATGGATCCAGACTTGTTGAAACAATTTCTGAACTATGAAGAGATTAGCTCACTTTCAAGTGCCTCAGTGGCTGCGGCAAGTTTGATTCGTCAAGTGTTTTTGTTTGGATCTGAACATTTGATATCTGTCGAGAATAAGCTCAGCTACATTGAAAAAGTTCGTCCTATTCATGTATTGTTGCTTTTTGTGGTTTCTCCTGTTGTCATTGTAATCCTTATTCGCCGAAGATTAAATCAAGACAAAAAGTAAAAAGGAGTTTCGAAAGAAGGTGGAAAGTTGACTCGCTGCCAAGTCGAAAATTCATGTCGAAAAATTGTTGTGAGGTAATCTCCAATAAACCAAGGAGTTTTTTCACACAACACTCCGGATAGCTCCGACTCTAAGAAATTCCTGTCTTGAAATACCTATTTTTTTGAAAAGTTCCAAAAAAATGCTCAACTCGAAAACAATGACCTCCTCGTTGCTCAAAGGACTGCTGCTGTTGGTGATGATGATCACCTTCTCATCAACGGACTCCTTGGCAGCTCTAATTTCACCATCCGATACACTTGCGGATGATTTATTAAAATCATCGAATTATGTAAGGATGGAAACGGAAAGGCTCGGTTCTTCCCAACGTATGAATGATGCATCGAAAAGAGGACCAGCTCTCTTTGTTCCTGAACAATGGAAAAAGATTGCTTCTGAGAATGGAAAGAGAAGCACAAACGAAAATCAAATGTTACATCTAACATTTGCTTTAAAGAATCAAAATATCGATAAATTGACTCAATTACTTTTAGCTGTTTCGGATCCTTCTTCGCCACAACATGAAAATTACTTGACGATGAGCCAAGTGGCAGCCATGACTACTCCACGATCCGAACATAAGGAACTTGTTTTGAATTATATCAAGAGTATTCCTGGAGCTATTATTGTTAAAATTTCAAAGCATGAAAACTTTGTGAGTGCATTGCTTCCATTGAGCTCAGTGAACAAATATTTGAAGGCCGATATGCAAGCATATAGACATGAAAAAACAGGAGATGTTGTTTTTAGATCTGAAATTGGATATTCCATGCCAGAAAAACTTGCACAAGCTGTAACCATGATTTCCGGTTTGGTTCGCTTCCCTACTGTTGAAAGAAAGATTATTTTCAGCGATTCTCAACGCTCTCGTACACCAAATGATTTTCCGATTACACCACAAGTTATTTGGTCCAGATACAACATTACTTTCCCTGCATCTGTCGATCCAAAAAGCTCTCAAGCAGTTGCCAGCTTTTTACAACAATACTATAGCACTAGTGATTTGGTTCTTTTCCAAAATACTTATGGACTCGAAAAGCAACTTCCAAAGCTTGTGGGACCAAATATTGAGTCGAACCCTGGTGTTGAGGCTAGTTTAGACATTCAATACTTGATGGGTGTTGGATACAAGATTAACACTACATTCGTTTCCACTCCAGGAATTAATCCAATCACAGAGCAAGAACCTTTTTATGATTGGATTATTAAGCAACAAGAAATGGGTGACCAATCTCCATGGGTACATAGCGTTTCATATGGAGATATTGAATACCAAGCCACCAGACCAATGGCTGAACAACTCGATGCTGAATTTATTAAATTTGGAGTCACAGGACGAACAATTATGATCGCCAGTGGAGACAATGGAAGTCGATGCAACAATGAAGGCACTCAATTCCAACCAGAGTAAGTTTTACATTGTCTTGTGTTCTTCCTTAACAAGTCATATTGACTCTTGTATTTTCAATAGATGGCCAACATCTAGTCCTTGGGTCACCAGCGTTGGTGCAACTACTCCATCAACAGAAAATTGGTGGGAAGAAAGCACATCGTGGAGTGGCGGTGGTTTTTCAAATTACTATGCGCAACCTAAATATCAAGCCAATGCTGTCAAGACATATCTGAATCAAAATGGTGCCCCTTCCACAAGTTTCTTCAACATTTCTGGACGAGCCTATCCTGACGTTGCTAGCTTGGGTGTGAATTATCAAGTATTCGTGGGTGGAGTTGTGAAAAATGTCGCTGGAACCTCAGCATCCACTCCATGCTTCTCGGGTGTAGTCGCTTTGATGAATGATGCTAGATTCAAGGCTGGAAAGAAGCCACTAGGATTCCTTAATATTTGGATTTATCAACATGCTGGAATTACTCCATCAGCTTTCTACGACATTACTCATGGTGTTAATACTGTAGCTCCATGTCCTCAAGGTTTTCCTGCCGCAAAAGGATGGGATCCCATCTCTGGTTTTGGAGTACCTAACTTTGCAATTTTGAAACATTTAGCATTATTGAAATAAATTTGTGTTCAACACGAAAATTCTCTTATTTTGTTGATTTAAAGGCGTTAGTCAACTGTAAACTTTACCCGTTGGTTGTTGTAAAGTTTACAACTGAATAAGGTCGCCCTCACAATTGACTAGCCTGATCAATTTAAAAAAATCATCTACAATATAAACCTTAATTCATTAGTTTGGACACAATGGGAAAGCAAAAGCAAAAGGAATCGCAACCCGAGGAGGAAGAAGAGGAAAATCAAGAAGAAGAATCTGCCACAGGTAATCGTGAAGATGAAGATCAGAGTTGGAGTTTGATTGATAAGCTTCAAGAGGTCGGCATTGGAGCTGCTGATATTAAAAAGGTTAGTTGTTCCTTCTTGCTTGTTACTGTTCAACTCATAATATTTAATTCCTAGTTGAAAGAAGCCGGTATTTATACTGTAGAGTCGATCATGATGAGAACTAAAAAGAAGTTGTGTTCCATTAAAGGCTTGAGTGAGGCAAAAGTTGACAAAATTTTAGAGGCAACCTCAAAGATTAGTTTCTCTGGATTCGTCACTGGAAATGATTTCATGAATCGTCGGAAACGGGTCATTCGAATCACAACAGGCTCCTCCACGCTGGACAATCTTCTTGGAGGTGGAATTGAAACCATGTCCATTACCGAAGTATTTGGCGAATTTAGGACGGGCAAGACTCAGATGTGCCACACTCTTTGTGTTACGGCACAATTACCCAAAGCACAAGGTGGAGGTTGCGGTAAAGTTGCTGTCATTGATTCTGAAGGAACTTTCAGACCCGAAAGAATTGGACCCATTGCAGAGAGATTTGGTCTGAGTGCTGAAGATGCACTCTCGAACATTCTGGTGGCACGAGCCTACACCAGTGACCATCAAATGCAATTGTTGCCTCAACTCACTGCTAAATTTGCCGAAGACACCTATCGTCTCCTTATTGTTGATTCTGTTACTGCTTTATTCAGAGTGGACTATTGCGGACGAGGAGAATTGAGCGAGAGGCAACAAAAGTTAGGACAGTACTTGTCAAGTTTGATGAAGTTGGCAGAAGAGTTTAATGTTGCTGTCTTTATCACAAACCAGGTTCAGGCTGACCCTTCTGGTGCAAGCATGTTCACTGCCGACCCAAAGAAACCTGTTGGAGGCCACATTCTTGGACACGCGAGCACCACACGCTTGTATCTGAGAAAAGGCAGAGCCGAACAGAGAATTTGCAAGATTTATGATTCTCCTTCTCTCCCAGAGGCTGAAGCCGTCTATCAGATATCCAATGATGGCATTAAAGATGCAGAGAGTTAAGGCCAATGGACAGCCGAAATGCATTGGCAGTTTATAAAATTACAGTAAACTCTCAAGAACGGTTCATATATGGTGCATCTGATCCATGCAGCCTTAATTCATTTTCTTTTTCTTTCTTTGCTGTTCATTCGCGTTGCTTTCTTGGAGAGAATCATCCTCCTCTTCATTGAGGATGAAATTCAAAGACAAGGGATAGATCTTTTTAAACAAGACAGAACCTTCTAAATCAAAGTAATCTTTTGGCCATTGAGTGAGTCCGATTTGATCTTTCAAATCACTGAATCTTCTCTTTACAGTTGAAACACTGCATCCTAATAATTTACAAGCCTGATGTTGAGTCAAATGAAGTACAGAGAGAATTTCCTTTAGAGAAATACATTGAGAGGAGCGTTTTCTTGATCGAAGTTTCCAATCTTTTGTTGGTTTTGCTTCGAATGCTTTAAAAACATGCACAGGAATGTCAGGTGAAGAAGTGTTCCTAGATTTAGAAATTGTTCCATCGGATCCACTGGTGGAACATGAACTGCTGTGGGATGTCGAGGAAGTGTCAATGTGTTGATGATAATGATGAGGGAGGCGTCGATGTTGTGTGCAAAGCTTCTTGTCATCTTGCATCTCAGTTAGGAGTTTTCGGTTAATTAGTGCTGGCAATGGACTATTAGGAGTTGTTGGGTTTTGTCCTGACGGTTGTTGGTGGTTGTCCTTTCGCGTTCTCATCATTGTTGGTGGTCTGGGATGAGTTGATTCTTTTTTGTCCTTCCTCTCAATGGTTTTTAAAGGTTAGATGAAGTTTTGTTGTGTTGCATGTGACCACCACCATGTTAATTTGTTGTGGTGATGCGCTTTGTGTGTGAAAGGACAAGGACCGTTCGAAAAAGGAAGTCTTATGTGAACCAGGGGACATAATTCGTGCATGCCACCTTCCTTTGCGTTTGGGTTTCAAATTGAAAATGGAAAATTTTTCTCATGATTTTGCGTCGTTTTCATCTATTTTCTTCCAAAGACATGAGACAAGTGTCCTTGTGTGAACGAATTTCCGACTGATAGTATTATTAAAGAGTTTAAACTCTTCTTTTATCTCATGTTGAATCAATGGATCAATGAACAAGTTTTTAGATCGTGTGAAACAGCAGAAGACTCTTTCACTCTGATCAATGATTGTCGAACGGAACCCTTTCGAACAGCTTGTCGGTTGTCTTTTTGATCGGTTTTGATCATTGATTTGTGAAATGCAGATCTGACCTTTCAAATGCATGAGAAAACGGAAGCAAAATAAATTTAATCAAAACGAAATCTCATACAAGCTTACATGAAACACCAAAAAGTGCATTACTGCATGTTGATTAAATCCAACTCAAGTATACTCTTCGATTTGAATTCAATTCCATTGTTGAAGTCCTCCATCGATTTTCCTTCATCGAATGATTCGGATCGAATTAATGTTTCATTTTAATCTAAAAAATGTTCAAAAAGTCAATTCTCAAATGTACTCAATCTCACTTGTTGAAGGCTTCGGATAAGAAAAAGCTACTCAAACAATTACAAGAACAATATCCGAATGTACCTACTCCTTCCGAGTTGGATCATGATGATACTCAAAATATTAATAATGAAAGTGTTTCATCCTCGTCGTTGTCGTTATCATCATCACTCGAAAATAATATTAATCCATGGAAATTATTACTTCCTTTAAAAAGCCAAAATGTTCAAAGTTGCAAATTGGTTGCATATTTGCAATCACCTGAGCAACAACCAACGGAGGAAATTGTGATAGCCAAAAACGTTCCGAACAAGAAGAAAAAACAGCAACAAATGCAAAAACAAATGTTAAGAGCCTCTCAAGATATTCAAACATTCAATGTCATTACTGTTGATAATATTCCAATGTTCTTCTCTATTGAAAAAGATGAATTTTATTTTCCAACAATTTTTGCACTCCAGATTGCACCAAATTTGGTGGACACAATTTATATTTCTCAGCCAGTTTCGCATTATTTATTGCAAGGTGCTGATCTTATGAAACCTGGAGTGAGTAGAAATCAGAAAAATCAAAATCTACAACTTGCTGGAGGTGATAAGTTAAATAATGGTGGAAGTAATGGAGGAATTGGCACTTTTAAAACAGGTGATATTCGAAGCATACAAATTAGAGGTAATCCTGTACCGTTTGCTGTTGGAGAAATGGTCATGGATTACTCGGAATTTTCCTCTTCTGATAAAGGAAAATGCATGGAAGTGGTACACATTTTTGGTGATTATTTGTGGCAATATGGAACGAACCATGCCTCTTCTTCGTACTCTCCTCCAGACGGATTTACTTCACAAATTATTGAAGTCACTGTTACTAGTGACACAGATGCCAGCAGCTCCCAAGGAACAGAAACTGCCTCTACAGAAGCTTCAAAAGAATCTATAAAGAAAGAAGAAACATTAGAAGAAAGTAATGAAGATGATAATGATAACGATGATAAAGAAGGTGAGGAGCCAGAAAACTCCTCAAACACCACAGACATCAAACCTGAAGAAATGGATCAACTTTTAGAATCTTACTTTATTTCAACTCTAAAAAGTGGCATTGAAGACGATCAACTTCCAATGGAAGGTAGTGGATTCTACACAAAAATGTTTGAGTTTAGTGATGATATTATTTTGGATATTAAGAAGTCAACATACAAAAAGTGGACAAAATTCCTCAAACAAATGCAGAAAGATAACATTGTCAAGGTCAAGGATGTTAAGGGTACTCTCTTTGTTACAAATGTAAATAGAAGTCATCCAAAATATGTTGCTGCGAAAGAGCTGAAACGAAAGGCTGCCGTGGCATCCTCCTCTTCTGGATCATCATCCAAGAGTGTACAGATTGTGACTCTCAAAAAAGCACCATCTCCCCTTCTTCCAATATTTGGCGGCCAAGCAGCTAAAGACAAGTTATTCGCTGAGAAGGAAGTTAAGGATTGTCTGCTAAAATATTGCCAAGATGCTAAAATATTTAACAATGGTCGTGTTAAGATTGATGAACTAATTTACAGCAAAATCTTTAAATCAGGAAAGAGCAAGAATGTCAGAATAGAAGAAATGGTTCCCATTCAAGTCATTATGGAACATCTTCTCAATGAAATGATTGACCATTATGCTGTCACCTACGACGGCAACGAAGAGGAAACTGCAATTTTCAAAGGAACTTGTCCTGGAATTAAATTAGAAGCTGATAAAATCATGGGAAATAAGGTAATAACCAAAGTGGATGGAGTAAGCTTGATCATTAATAATCCAGACCTGAACTGTGTTGCATTTGAAGAGTTGGTAAAGAAGCTCAAAAGTAAATGCAGTGCCTCAATCAAAACGAATACATCGACACTTCCAACCGTTGGATTGCGAGAACCTGATATTACCATTCAAGGAAATCACATTGTCACAGTTCAACAAATCCTCACTCAAGAATATGGTTTTCCATTGAAACATATCTTCACCACGGACCACACTGCCAAGAAGAAGAAAAAGTAATCTCATCATGAATCAACAATAACGTTATCATGGCCTCTTTTGCCGGTCAATTGCAAAAACATTTAAAACATTCACCCAATCACATCTTGATGATCTAAACTTTACAATTAAAAAAAATGTTTCATCATCATCGCCCAACATCGACGAGTCATTATGATTTGAAAGTGGCACCTTGTTCCAAACATCTTCTTCTTCTCTCATCACTCATTCTCTTCCGGCTACTCACAAGTCTTTTCATGACTACCTATTTCAGTGCAGATGAATATTATCAAGGCATTGAAATTGCTCATTCACTCCATTTTCCTAAACATCCACATATCATTCCATGGGAATGGCAATCGGAACATTCATTGAGAGGATTCCTTCATCCCATGATACTTTCTGTGGGATATTACTTGATGGATTATATTCAGAAAATGAATGAATTATTGAATCAATTCAATTTTAATATTTTGAAATTAAAAATTGATAACGAATGGTTTGAATATCAAACAATGATGTTGATGGGATTTATGGCATGGTGGCTTCCTCGAATGGTGCAAGCAGTACTCACAGCTATTTCCGATTACTTTTTGTATTTAATTTGTGTGAAATATTGTAAAAATTGGAAAATTGGAATTTGGTGTGTAGGTTGAAAGAGTTTGAGTTTACAAACTAGTTTGATGAAACTTTGGAATTATATGAACTCAATCTTTGATGAATTTCTGACCAAAACGAATTTAAAGCTATTAATTGCATGCACTAATTGGTTTCATATTTATTGTGGAGTGAGAACATTTTCAAATACCATGGAAATGAATGTCACTCTTATTGCTATTTATTATTTTTCGTATCCATTAATTTCAAAAGATCAACAATCGAATGACACAACAGTCATAGATAGAAACAATACAAGTCATAGATGGAATATATGGATTTTTTTTGCTGGTATGGGATGTGTCATTCGACCAACTAATGCAATTGTCTATGTTCCACTTTTTATATACCAATTATATTGCGAGAGAAATAGAGTTCAATTTTTGTCAAGTTTATTTGGATACTTGTAGGTTTGTTAAAAATTGAAACTTTGTGTGAAATGAGGTTTTTAAATGATGGCATTTTTCTTGTAGAATATTTTGGATTGCAGTGTCGGTGAGGATTGATTCTCTCATGTATGGAAAGTTGACCATTGTTCTTTTGAACTTTTTAGAATTTAATATTGTGAAAAACTTGGCTCATTGTAAGTTTCTATTCCCTTTTAATTAATTATTATTATTAATTAATATATATATTGGAATAATTTTCAATTTTAATAATTGGAATTATATTTTCATTCATAATAAGTGTATGGTACTCAACCATGGCATTGGTACTTTTCACAAGGTTTTCCAGTCATTTTATTGAGCTATTTACCATTTTACATTTGGATTAATTATTTCAATAAGGAATTTCGAGCAAAATATTTCAAACTGAACGTTGTCATTCTCTTTCCTATTGTATTATATTCCTTTCAGACGCACAAAGAATTTAGATTTATTTATCCAATTGTTCCTCTCTGTTTTATTTCGGTAGCAGAATATTGCTGTAACAAATTCGAGCAAGAACAGAAGAATTTCATGAGCTCGTTTAAGATTGTTCTGGTATTTGTAATTTGTGTTCAAATTGCTGCGGCACTCTACCTTGGAAAAATTCATCAAAATGGTCCTCAACAAGTGATGGATTACTTAAGGATGGAATACTATAACTATGAGAGAAGGAACAGCTCTAGTGACGGTCAAGATAGCTCACTCAGGGTACACTTGTTAATGCCATGCCATCATACTCCAGGTTATTCCTTTCTCCATCACCAACACTTATTCTCTAAAGGGATCCAACTCTATCACTTGGATTGTTCTCCTTTTGATGGCAACAACACACAGGCAGATCAATTTTACAGGGATCCTGTCGGCTTTACCCTTAATCAATCCAAGACCATTGAGAATGCAGACTACGTAGTCATGTATGACACGATGAGCAAGACTCTACAACCAGTACTCAAGAATCACTTTTCCTTTGCCAAGCAAGCATTCCACATGCACATGTTCATGCTACACGACAGCAGGATGGGTCAGTACATGGACATTTGGAAGAAAACCCGATAGCTATAATAAACTTGAAGCTCCGTATCCAATCTGCTATTTCTTAAAATTCCAATCCTCAAACATGATAAATTAAAGAATTTGTTTTTATGATTTATTTAGTAGGACTTGTTTCCTCTTCTCTTTTGGTAGTGAGGAGCGCTTGAACCATGGGTGACTCTGGTAACTTGCTTCAAATCGCCGAATCCGATAGTCTTCAACATGTCAGAGACATCCTCAGAGACTTCAATACCCTTGTTGATGATTTCATCGACATAGGAAACTTCTGGAACGTAGTCCATACGTCTTTCTCTTTCCTCTTCTTGCAACTTCAAGGAGATACCTCTGACGGTACCCTTCTTGATTCTAGCCATCAAGTGAGTGGTGAAACCAGCAATCTTATTTCTCATTCTCTTGGTTGGAATGACAGCGATTTCTTGGCAAACCTTCTTGTTGGTATCGAAATCGGTTGTGAGAGAGTTGTAGTACTTCTCAACAATGATCTTGGATGCCTTCTTGACAGTCTTGGTTCTGACTTTACCCATTTTGCTTTCTGAAGCGTTATGATAGAAATGATGATTGTTTGAAAGAAATTAGAATATGTTCATGAACAGGCGAGAGAGTACATACATTTTGACAATATTTTTTTTCGACAAAATTTTTTTAAAAATTCTAGTCAACCTAGGTTTATGACTTTTACAACGGAGTGCAAAATTTGCCTTCCCAAAGAAAACTGTTTTCTGTCTCGAAAGTCCAGTTAAATGAATTAAACTTTCCGAACAGTACATCACCACAGGTTTGATCTTGTAGACATTGTCAAGTGATTGAAGCACTCAAGGAGAGTCGAATCGCGATTCACACATGGGAATTAGCCATTCTCCTTTGATGTTTGAAATTACTTTTTCCTTTAGAAAATAAAAAAAATGATGAAATTTGTGTGGCAGTCCTTTTTGTGCAACAGGAGTGATGACAGCAGTGATGAAGAAGAATTGAAATCGTCATCATCCGAATCAACACAGTCACACTCGCAAGAAACTGCAACTTTGAATGGATCACACCAAGTGGAACTAACATCATCGACTTCAACAACAAAACACTCTCGAAGCAACAGTAACAAGGAAAATCATGTCATGGCCAACCGATTTAACATGATCGAGAGTATTCAATCATGCAGCAATGCTACAGACGAGTCGATTCAACAGACTGAAGTGTCAAAACTTGGTGATACAATTCCACTCATTGGTTCGGATATTGCCCGTTTGATTTCTCGCATGAAAATTGATGGCATTCAAATCATAAACTTGGAAGTTTCATCCTCATCAGATAGAGATCTATTGATGGAAGGATCAGCAAGATTCTTTGAACAAGTTTTTCACACATTCGATTTGAAAGATCTATATGATTCTAGGAGACACCTCTTGACCTCATTCACGAACGGCTCTTCAACAACAGAATCTTCCTCTGAGCTTTTAAAGAAAGGAATTGTACTCTTACTCGAAGACATGTGTCGTGCATGTCTCACCGACAAATATTTAAGGAAATTTAAGAATGCTCTAAAATTTTTTAGTTGTCTGACGCAGGAATCCATATCCTCATTTGTCATTCAGTTAAAATCAAAACTAAAAGTTGAATATAGAGGAAGAGCACGAATATTTGATGGTAGAATGTGGATTGTGGAGATGAATTTGAATGTTGATAATGGTGGAAACAACCACAACTCATCACCAAGACTAGAGATTACTCATCGTAGAACTGAAAGACTGTGTCAAAGTGACTCTCGAACCAAAGATTTGCTCCACATTGTACAAACTCCAAGAGCTGCAGGTTCGAGCATTGAAGAAGTTTGTAAATTCGTGTGGTCTATTACCTTCTCTTTTTTCATGCAAGACTCCTTAAATCATCACACGGAGAACAAAGACTCCACCTCCTCGCAACAACTTTATCTGGACTCTCCTGTTAAGGTCGATTTTGAGCAAGTGGAACAATACAATACTCCATCCGTTTTACTATTTCTTAATGCCGATTCGGAAGAAGAATTCTCTCATGACCATCAACAACAACCATCAGAGCAAGAACTGAATTCTCAACTCGTCACTCATTTGAAAGACTTTTTCAAAAACTCTTTTAAAAGATCAACCAATATGTGATTGAATCAATGAATGTTGGGAGATTGGAAATATTCGTTTTTGGCAGCACAAACTCAATTTCGAGACAGCTTCATAGAGATCATCACTGTCGAACATAAGTGCTAATGAATGCACTTAATACTCATCACCACGTGAAACAAGGGTCTCCATAAATAGGTTTCATCCAAATCGGAATTATTTTTGTATCGGAATTGTATCACGCACTACATGCTGGCAGGTTCCGATAACGATAAATATTGACCATTCAAAAAAAACAAGCACGATTTTTACGTTTCATTCTTCAAACTGTGTATTGCCGTTGCAGTAGTGATTCAAGCTTGAATCATCATCACTTGGAATTATTGATCAACCAATTCGTCTTTCTTAACTTGGATCGTAAATTTATTTTCGCGCTAAAATTTTAAAAACAAATCATCTCGAAAGAAAAAACAAACATTGCACTGCGCGCTTGTGTTCGGATCGTAACGATTTTCAAACATTTTCATCCAAAATATAATTTCATTATCTGAAAAACACTTTTATATAGAAGAGAATGGGAAAAGACTATTATTCGATTCTAGGAGTGGCCCGAAATGCCAACGAGAAGGAAATTAAATCTGCCTATCGTAAGCTCGCACTTAAATGGCATCCCGATCGAAATCCAGACAACAAGACCATGGCTGAAGAAAAGTTTAAAGAAATTGCGGAGGCCTATGAAGTTTTAAGCGATAGCAATAAGAGAGCAATTTATGACCAATACGGAGAAGAGGGATTGAAAGGAGGTATTCCAAGTAGTGGAGCCTCAGGAGGTTTTACTACAGGTGGAGCATCGTTCCACTTTTCAAATCCTGAAGATATATTCAGACAATTCTTTGGAGCACGAAGTCCTTTCGATTCAATGTTCAATATGGGAGGTTTTGAGGATGGAGACGATTTCGGAACATCATTCTCGTTTGGTCCAAGATCATCCTTCTTCCAGTCAACTCAACAACGAGGTCCTCGTAAAGCACCAGACGTGGTCCAAAAGGTTGCTTGTTCACTTGAAGACTTATACAAAGGAAAAACAAAGAGGATAAAGATCACCAAGTCAATGTTAAATCCGGATGGACAAACCACACGAAAGGAGTCTAAGATTTTAACATTCCCAATCAAGAGAGGTTTCAAAAAGGGAACCAAAATTAGATTTGAAAACGAAGGAGATCAAGCTCCTGGTATTGTCCCAGCAGATGTCGTGTTTGAAATTGATGAATTACCACATAGCACCTTCCAAAGAGATGGAAATAACTTAATTTACTCCCCAAGTATTTCACTAAAAGAAGCGCTTTCTGGAACTGTAATAGAAGTTAAGACTCTTGACGATCGAATGCTAAGGATACCTATTAATGATATTGTAGAACCTGGATACACAAAGATTGTTTCTGGTGAGGGAATGCCACTTTCAAAAGATCCAGATCAAAAGGGTGACCTAATTATTAAGCCCAACATCATATTCCCTAGATATCTCAGCAACCAGCAAAAGGAAGCTTTGAAGAAAATACTGCCATAATAATAATAATTTAATTTGTACATATAAACAATGGTGGTCCCACTAAGGAGACTCGACTGATAGTATGTGAATGGTGTTCTATTTTCATGAAGTTGTATAGCTTTTTCAACATGTTAAATGCATTCTTGATCGACATTGATGTACTTTTCCAAGTTGTTGCACACGTCGAGGAACTTCATTACAAGCTGTTAGTGAAACGCAAAGTGAGAGTGAATATTGAATGGTTCTCATTACAATCGTACATACCTTTCCAGCTATTATGGAATATTTAAACAAAACAATCAAATGCAAAATTCAATTATTGCATCACTATTTCATATTTCAATTATTTACCTTCTTTACCGTCCACATATCTATGGTCGGTTGTTGCAGTAAGCTTGATTTGTTTTCTGACAACAATTTCATTTGTATTCTCATCGACAGTTGGTCTTTTGACAGCCTTTCCAATACATACAAAAAATGGACATCTGGTGAAAGGAGCCAATGGTACAAATCCTGAGAAAAAGTTTGATTGAGAATAAACCAAATTCGAGACAAGCTACATACCTTCCTCAATACCAAAGCTAATAAAATTCAAGTTCTAAACAGAAAAAAAATACCATGTTACAAGCACTTACTTGGCTACACTGGTAACGATACATGTTCCAAATGGATGTGCTTGCAATCCAAATGCTGGAAGGTCAATTTGCAAAGCACATGCCAACCAAGAAGAGAGAGAAATCAATGGACCAGCAAGAACACTAGGAATGAAACGCATTGGTTGGTTTGTCTTTTTGTGATGTTCATTCTTACCGGCTCTCAATTTCTCTGCTCCTTTGATAATTTCATCACTAATTCCTTTAAGTGTCTTTTTGTTGATCGATCTAATGGTGACATTGGCCAAATCATTCTTCTTTGTGATAGGATCTTCACATGCAACCAATAAACTGACGTCTATTGTCTTGTTTGGAAGCAACTTTCCTAAAACCATTCGATGATTGATTTCTGGACATGCTTCAATTGCAAGACCCAAAGCTCTGGCAACAAAATGAGTGAGTGTAAGTTTTTGACCAGTTTTCTTTGAAATTTTATCCAAAACTTCCTCAATATGATCAACATTAATTGTGACAGCTCCGTACTGATTGTGAATTGAAACAATCATTTAGAGTTCAATTCGTTGAATGAGTAATTATAATTATTTTGGAGGTCAAATTCTCACAATGACATAAAACATACAGTAGCAGGTTCCGATGGAGCTCCCCAACCTGACATGGTTATCTTTCTTCTTGCACTCATCCGAGGTCTATCATTTCCGATAGCATCATCAAAAAAATTATTTCCCATTTTGATGATGATCATCATGAGCATAATCATCGCAACGATGATCCAAAAACAGTAGGTATGAGAGTCCTCATGACTCATTCTCATGAAAAATGTACTTCTATACTTACGGCATTTGATCCCACACAAAACAAATCACCAAATACGCGACGGCAATCAAGGCGAGCAATGAAAACATTTTTTCGAAGTGTGTGAGGGAAATCTCACACAAGAGGATCCTCTCTTGGGAAAACATCTCTCTCCCCACAAATGAACATTTTGAGTTCATACAAAACATTTACTGAAATCAAATTACTTGTAGGTACTTCCATCAAAGTTGGTAAAAAAGATTAATTGACAAACCTTCTTTTTCTTTAACGAGAATGAAAGCATTTCCATCTTGACAAAAAGTTTGATGGACACTTCTATTAAGAAGAAGGTCTTTGAATGATCAATCATGTAATTCAATCCTTCTTACATTCCTCTTTCACAAATGAAAAAAGCATTTCCAACTTGTCCAACTTGAAAATGTCTCAAGAAGACCTCAAGATACGCATTCGTTTTTTCACTGGTGATCCTTCTCGAGATTTCATTCTCGACAAACAGTTGGAATCCAACAGCAGGCATGCTCAATACGTAACCACACAAGCCGAAAAACTCTCCAAAGATTTCTGCTCCAAAGTCAATGTGTGGAAGTCACTCTCAACCCAAAACAACGAACATTGAAATCGGTCGAATTAGTTCCAACTGCTTCGGCGTTGATTTTGAAAACACTCCAAGAAAACACAAGAACTTGTCGTCGTTCCGTTAAACAAAATCTTTCCATGGGGCAAGTGTTGGAAATTGCAACGTTAATTATGAGACAACCCTCGATCGAAAGCAAAGAATTTGAAAGGAGTGCTGCGAGAAGTGTTGGGAAGTTGTGTGTCATGTGGTTGTCTCGTGGAAGGAAAATCTCCTAAAAGTATTTTGGATGATCTTTTGTATGGAATTGGGGGTTTGTGTTTGAAAGTAGTTGAGGAGTGAGTTAAAGGAGATTGTGTGAAATTGTGTGAGAGGTGATTCATCATTAGTTCATGATATGATGAAACAGAAAATACACACATGACAGACATACAATTTAATGAAAATTGAATGATCTATAAAGGACAATCCAATTATTATTATTCTTAATCAATTGCGTGTCTTAATGTTCATGGAAATAACTTTTCAAATTTTGTGGAGTGATTTTGCTTCAAAGGATTTGATGAAAAAAAAATAACCTTTGTTGTACTGAGAGAGGAATTGTTGCTCAGCATTCATTCCGATTTTGCACTTGTTCCTTCCGATTAACGTTCATTGGTTCTTACTAGCGTTATATTATAACAACAAAATATTACGAGATGATTTCTACCAATGATAAGAATAACACAACAACGGTTGAAGATTCCATCGATACCACTTTGAATGATGTGGATGATAAAGCCTCATCATCATCTCAAACACAACAACAACCACAACAACATGAAACAACAGAACAACAATTTACATCATCGGAAGAGCCTCTTTTCCATACTTTGGGCTCAGATGATAATATGCCTTTGGAGATTGAAAGTTTTTGCGTTGGATGTGAGAAGAATGGTGTTACACGATTGTTATTCACTAAAATTCCTCACTTTAGAGAAGTGATTATTTCAAGCTTTAACTGTCCTCATTGTGGCTTAAGAAATCAAGAGGTTCAATTCGGAGGCTCTTATGGTGCTTATGGTGTTACCATCACGTTGAAGGTTGAAAAGAAAGAAGATTTGAATCGGCAAATTGTCAAGTCAGACTATGCTACTTTGAGAATACCAGAAATCGATTTTGAAATACCAGAGAACACTCAAAAGGGAACTTTGACAACTGTTGAAGGAGTTATCTCAACAGCCATTGATAACTTGTTGGAAAATCAACCAGCTAGAAGAGTGATACAGCCAGCTGTTGCAGCAAAGATTGATGAATTTATTGAAAGAGCAAGACACTTGATTTCTGGAGAGGGTTTCCCATTCACTGTTATTATTGACGATTATTCTGGAAATTCCAACATTGAAAAATTAGTCACACCACATGATCCTCAAATCTTAATTAAGCATTATGCTAGAAATAAGGAGCAAACTGAAAAGATGGGTCTTTCTCTTGGAGCTCAACATTACATAGAAGGGGAACAGGAACAGAAAAAGACTGCTGAAACAAGCACAAACGAAAAGCAACTACTTGCAAGTTTTTCTTCAATCATTACCAACGAAAAAGATGCTGAATTGCTGCAAGAGAGGTTAAGTACACCAGATGAAATTTTCACATTCACAGAAAAGTGTTATGGATGTGGCACTGAAGGTGTTTTGAGAATGATGCCTCTCGTTGTTCCATACTTTAAAGAAATTATTTTAATGGCATTCAAGTGTGATCATTGTGGATACAAGACCACTGAAGTGAGAGCCGGAGGTGCCATTGCCCCGCAAGCTACCAAGATTACCCTCAAAGTTTCCAACCCAGAGGACTTGAGTAGGGATGTTTTGAAGAGTGAGACAGCCTCATTAGATATTCCAGAACTTGAGTTGCATGTAGCACAAGGTTCTCTTGGTGGTAAATTTACAACAGTTGAAGGTCTTTTGATGAACATTAAGGAAAAGCTCACTGAGGCAAATCAATTCAGAGTTGGAGACAGTAGCGCAGAAAAGGAAACCTTTACTCGATTCTTGACAACTATTGATGACATGCAAAATGGAAAATTCTTCCCTTGGACTCTCATTATTGACGATCCTGTTTCCAATAGCTATGTTCAAAATTTATTCGCTCCTGATGACGATCCATACCTTACCATTGAACACTACGATAGAACATTTGAGCAAAATGAAGAACTTGGCTTGAATGATATTAAGACTGACTAATAAAATTATGAATGTGAGATTTCATCCTTTTTCTCACAAAATTAAAGAAAGTCACAAAGACAGAACACCTTCTTATTAACAGAAAAAGGCATTATTCAAGAAGAGAAATGATGATGAACCTGTGAAGCTATAATTGTTGTGGATTTTTCAATATTTTGACATCCATCAATTGTCTTTCAATATTTTCAGTTCCAAAAGTTGACATGATGTTGGAGAGCGTGAAGAATTTCGGATGAAACACAAAAGAATTACACATGATGCAATTGTTAATTGTAGAAGTTCTTCTATTGAGGGATAAATGACAAATAAACCAACATCAAAATGTCTTTGACCTAAAACGAAAGGACATTAATAAACTTTGATCCTTTGGAATCGATCTTCAATCAAATAGTACCATTTGGTATTATTCTTCAACAACCTTCTCTTGTCTTTCCATTTTTGGACTATTTAAGGAATCAAAAATAATTGATCTCCTGTCTTGACATTGTTAGTCACTAATCTCAATCAACTAGGTAATGTCAACTCTTTTCCAGCCCATCTAGACAACTTTCAAAATTCCTATAAATTGTACTTTTACTCAACTCTTCAAGTCCTACATCATAAAAACAACAACATCAAGATGAAATCACTTTCGCTTGTTTTGCTTTTTGCGCTTGTACTCCTTGCTTCTGTCTACGTAGCACGAGCTGCAGACACTTACAAGAAAGTTGATACTTACAAAAAGGTCGACACTTACAAACCTCCAAAGAAAAAACATTGTCGTAAAAAGTGTGTCCTTCACAAGTACGTTCGTGGAAAATGTCTCAAACACAAGTGGGTGGGTCGTAAAAAGTATTGTGACAAGTATATGGTGGTTGGAAAGGGTCGTTGTTTGAAGCACAAGACCTATTCCAAGTGTGACAAATACAGCAAGCCTTACACCAAGTGTGTCAAACACAAGTACAGAAAATATTGCCACAAATATGAAACCAAGCAAGTCTGTGATCGTTATGACACTCGTAAATATTGCAAGAGACACGCTCGTAAAAAGTATTGTTCTCAAACCAAAAAGTACAAGAAATGCATCAAATGGGGCAGAAAGAAGACCACTTGCAGAACTTCTAAAAGGTATCCAGTTAAGAAGTGTTACACCAAGAAGAAGTGTGACAAGTATGTGGATCCCTATGCTCCTTCAAGAAAACCATCCTGCAAATACGTTCGTAAATGTCGCGTCGTTACTTACAAGACCAAATGTTGGAAGTACAATTATCGTCGTTATTGCAAGAGACACAAATGTTACACCAAGTGCATGTATCACAAGTACAGAAAATATTGTCGCAAATGGAGCACTCGTAAATATTGCAATCATTACAAGAAGGTGACAAGATGTTGTCAACACAAGATGAAGAAATATTGCACCCGTAAAAAGACCTATCCATCCAAGTGTATTCATAAAAAGTATTGGAAGAAGTGTTGCAAGAGAGGACCACCAAAGAAAGTGTGTGCTTATTACAAGTACACCAAAGGAAGAAAGATTTGTAAGAGACGTGCCCCTTCCAAGAAGGTGTGTCTTTACAAGAAGAAGAGTTGTAAGAAGATGAAAAAGCCAAAGAAGGTTGATACTTATAAAAAGTAAAGAATCTGAGGAATTCGGTCTTTGTAAATAAATCTATTTTGAAAAAAATGTTGGAAGTTGTCATCTTTCAAGTTCAACCACTTGTCTTGTGAACATGTTATTTCTCTTGAGGATATTTCAATCCAATTTGAGAACGAATCTTATCTAATACTTTGAGAGTTTCCAAAGTTACTCGATGAGGCATTATATCACTTTCCATCTTTCCACTCTTCATGCATTCCACCACATGTTCAATTTCATAGCAAAGACCTTCAGAATTTGGAAAGTTAA